ACAGATATAGGGTCTCATTACTAATTAAAATAAATAAATAAATATAAGTACGTTTAAACTTGTACTTCTGTGTCTCAAATACTAAAATAAAAATGAAACTCAGTTTATTCTTTGACTGAAGCATAATTTGCATCATTGCTATTTTCAGTAGCAATGGAATTATTAAATCTCGAAAGAATTAGCATTGCAAGCAAGCATTAAGAAGCGTTTTAAAAAACAGGGAACACTTTGGGGAAAAATACATTTATGCATATACCAATAATTTTCATTAACTTTAAATTATACTACATGTACATTCTTTATATGAAATATTGAGATAAAGAACGGTAATCAAGATCAAAAGCCAATTGAAATAGTACAAATCGGGAGCAGAGCAAACACGGACCTCTAAAAGCATCGGAGGTGGGATCAGGGGCATCCCCTGTCCACCGGACACACCCGCCGTGTGCTACCTGTCAGGATCGGGCAAACGGAAAAATCCGTAGACAATTCAGTGTATAAATAATGGTCTAAAAATAGCATGAAATACATCAGTCTGCATTTGATTTAATGATAAATTGAATTTTTGGACAGGATCATTGTATCGACCATAGAACTTGCGAACTGTTGACTTTAAATGAGACTGTTGATATTCTTGTTTCATCACTTGTTAGTCAATAGTTTGCCTTGTTTTAGAAATTGTTCGTACGTAGAGCATGCTCTTGCGTATCGAATCAACTGGGAGACAGAAACTCCATATTCAAATGATAAGGGTATATTGATACATAAATAAGGAATGTTGACGTTAGAAAAGTTGAGGTCATCAAGTTTATCATAAAGTTTGGTTGTTAGGTTACTTTTAACGTCTTTTTATAGTAAAATATCCAAATATGAAACAGATGTGTCCGACCCTCTGGTATCTTTTATTTCAAGTTCACTGGGATATATCGAGTCGACATATGAATGGAAGTAACTATTGTTAATTGATATATCTAAATCGTTGGTATATCTAAATGTCGAGTTGAAGGCCACAGCAATTGTTTTCTTCTTCTCATGTAGAAGTTTTTGAAAAAAAAATCTGCTTCTTATGAAAAATAGGTCTGCTTATATAGGGGGGAAATTGGAACCCATGAGAATTCCGACAGATTGTTGGAAGATTGATCTCCAAAACCTTCATCGATATTGTCAATTAAAAACTCAAGCATCTTTATTATATAAACTTCGGAGTACTTGTGTGTACAATCAGATTGATTTTTTATTATAATAACTTTGCAAATAACCAGTGACAAGGTAAGTAAATTTACGAGTTCCATTTGTATTGAAAAAGCAGCTGTCCATGAAGTCAAAAAGCCTGGACTTTAATTTATCTTGGGAAATGGCTGTATAAAGTGTTGAAAAGTCGTTTGATGTTATTAAAGAATCTGGGGGGATAAGACGAGCCATGTGCCCATGCCCATTTTTCGGCTATGCAAGAACATTTATTGGAAAAAATCTCTCAATTGTTCGAATTTACTTAAGCATTTTAATGTTTACCGTAGTTTTAAAAATGATATTTATATTCTAAACAAGCTAAACAGTTGACTTTCATTACTGTCACAAATGTCTAACATGGGTAAGGACTTCTATTAATTAATCTGCATATTGAGTGTTTACACTTATTGTGGAGATATTATAAAAATGTTAACATCGTATATAATGATAATGGTGATCTAGAAGCGGTTTTATTTAAAATAAATAAAACGGGAATAAAAGTATTCAAATATCTATTATAATTTTTATCCGGCATTTTAAATAATTTACTGTAAATAAGTTCATTACTACATGTATATATTTTATTTCCAGTGAAAAATATGTTATTCCTATAGACATTTTTTATAAAGTAAAACAAAATTAAAACCAAAAAAATAAAAAAAAAAAAATAAATAATAATAATAATAAAAAAAAAAATCAGAGCATGACTCGAACACTTTCTTCAATAAATGTCCCTTTAAAGAGCTCATCGCTAACCACTAGACCACGGAGTCACACTAACATTTCATTTTAAATAGCATACAGTTCTCTATATTTAGCAAGCGTTTTTGGACTTAGAATTTTTTAAGACCACGGTGAAAATTTAAGTAAGTTAACTTAATTTTTTATGAAGAGTGGGTCTTCATACCAAATTTTTGGAAGTGTAAAAAGCAACATCTTTCCATTGCCTTTCATTAATCGTTCTCAAAAAAATGGTACGATGACCCACTCTATTTAAAAAATGTAGTTATATCATCCAATTTATGTCAGTTTCTGTGAAAATTGAGCGTGATGCCATTTTGTTGTGTTAATCAGAATCATTTTCGCTGTTACAGTATTCAGGTTTTGTCAAATTTATATGCAAATGGTAATAAGCATTACATTAATTCAACAAAAAGTGAAATTTTTGTAAAATGAATTTATTGATTTTTTATCGATCGTTATGTAGGCATATGGCTCGGCTTATCCCCCCAGTTTCTTTGGTAAAATTCTGTGATTTCAATATTTCCACGTTCCTTTGAGTTTTTAAGTATCCACATCTGATTTACACCACTTCTCGAATATATTGTTGCACAGTACTCCTGAAGTTTCTCCTTCATTGCTGTTAATATCTTAGTGAGGAGTAGAGAAAGAGGCTTGGTAAAACATTTACTGGAACCAGCTAAATATCTTTGTTTGTAAGGATTTATATATAATATAAATAATTACATATTTAATTGCATATTCATAATCTTTAATTACATATTTAGAAGATCATGACTTGTATATTTAAAGCGAAATACATGAAAAGTAGTCAAGATTGCAAATTTTTAATAATGAATTGTCAAATACTAGTAGTCGCATTTGTCAAATTTCGCCTTTATCAAAATGTACTCTGCTCATTCCTATGTACAATCTCCCAAGCATGTGCTAGGCATCAAAACCCATGGACTCAAAAGATTAAAATCAGGTAGAAAAGTTTATAATGTGAAATTAACAACAGTAAAGGTTTTAATGCAAAAATATTTCATCGCCCATTTGACTTCCTTTCAATGATCAATAATAATAAAAAAAATCAGTGATTACTAGGATTTTACTCATACAGAAAAAAGCAAACCTAATACTGGCGGAAAGAAGAATTATTTATAGGAATGGGGTTTTTTTCACGAAAAAATGTGGAAGTATGAAGGCAATTTGAGTAAGCTACGTTTCTTATCATTTATATACAGTCAAACCTCGTTATCTCGAACGCGATGGGACTGAGAAAAAAAACTTCGAGATATACGAAGATTCGATATATCAGGGGTAAAATACTTTAAGAATAAGCGAATGGGACTTCCAAATCACTTCGATATATCCATGGTGTTCGAAATATCAGTGTTCAAGATAGCAAAGTTCAACTGTTTTTAAATTTATTGATTTGACAACAACTTTGGCTTTTTACTAGGCTTTCATTTGGTGGTGATTGCAAGTCAAAACTGTGAAACTAAATGATGGTGAAATTGGCGAAGATAAGGAATAATGATCGATCTCAATAAAAAAAAAAGGACACACAGTACAAATTTGTAAATACATGCAACCCTGAAAATTCCAGAGGTAGGATCAGGTGCCAAGGAAGAGTAAGCATCCCCTGTCACATGGTATCACACGTCATAAGTCTTCTGCATTGTACAGTTGAAGAGAGTAATCTGTAGTGAAATTAAGGATAAAAACAAAGACATGACAACTTGTATGAAATATGGCAACCATATTACGACTCAGTATGATTGTTAAAGAAAGGCTTAATTTTTTTGTATTATAGGCAATATAATTTTAAAATTTGAAGACTGTGTTTTTATAAGCAAATTTGTACATAGCGTTGTACATTGCAGAAGTATGAAAATCGATTATTAAGTATATGATAGGCCTTTTGACGGGTTTCATTTCGTATGGGATATACATTTACGCTTTAGGCTCTCAATGGAATTAACAATATGATCAGTATAATAGTTCATTACAGGCGTAATCTTTATATACAGATGATAGTTAATGATTCACTGTGAATTATGCAGCATTAGAACAATATATTGTATGAAAATTCAATGCGTGTACGATGAAAAATGGAAAATTCTTCAAGGAATTTCAATCATGCAAATGTGAACCTAAAATATGTCGTCTAAAATTATTTAGATTTCACAATGTTTTTTTTTTTCTTTCTTTCTTTTTTTTTTTTTTTTTTTGTCGAATGTTTACATTTCTTTTGGTGTTCACTCACATTAGCAAGTAGCGTACCGTCCGTAATCTCAGAAGTCACATGTTATGTTCACATATTCACTTAAATATGTATAATCTGTCCTTTAGCGTTCACATGTCATGCCGTGTTTACCCATGACTGTAATATTCACTTGTTATGTAGTGCTCACATACTCAAATGTAGTCTGGCTTTCAAGTAGTCAGTTGAACGTTCACATAATGACATGTAGCGTGGCTTTCAAATCCTTTTCCTGTAACTTTCAGATAGGCACGTGTCACGTGATTTTATATGGTAATGTCTTTAAAAAACAGCAAAGTTGGAAAAGGACCAAAGAAATTAGACAGAAACAGGTACAGTTCATAAGAGCTGGAGGAGCAGTGCTAGGAAGAGAAAAAAAGAAGAAACTCATGGCAGACTGCCGAATCGAGGATGGAGTGTTTGGTTAGTACACCTGTGTATGACAGAGCGAGGAAATCAACGCTAAGAACTCTAGGGGATGCGGAATGACTATGTGTAGAAAGCCGGGATCCACCGAATAGTGTATTGTCCACCACCATTGACCCACCAACTGAAGGATGTTATGGTTTAAGGTCGAAACATCTTAGGAAGGCTTGAGGCCCTTTGATAACAAGAACCGGCAGACGAGCATGCACAAAGGGAGGATACCAGAAGTTATAGGCAAGGACCTGATTACAGAAGCTTACATCAGCAGAATAACATCCTCTTACAGTCAATAGTCAATCATTGCTCTCGTCTTCTTACAATGGAGATTTTTTTAGTGGAGCAACATAGACGTCTTTCAGTATAAATGCTTAAGCTTTTTTCGGAGATCCATGTAAGCCCTATACTTTTTTGAATGTTCTATATTTTGAAGTCTGTCAGCTCTTTTAGTATACCCTAGATATCGGCGGACATTATTGTCAAATTTGTTCGCTTTGATCACCATGCTCTCAAAGTCGCCACAACTGTATCCGTAGAAAAAACGGGGGTGGCTTTCAAGTACCCCAGAGAAGTCGAGACAAGTCTTTTGTGGAGACCTAAGAACATCTGCATGCTTCATCTGGTAAAGTTCTCTCAAAATATCATCCACTTTGGACCTCTGTCTCCTCTCCTGTAAAAGAAATTCAAAAGGATTATTTCCCTTTCTCTTCCAGTGCATTATTTGCTGCATTCTAAAGATTCATTAATAATTTGTTCTATAATGTTTTGTTTCACTTAATGAAATAATGTTTTGTGTTTTGTGTGGAAAAGGAAGGAAGTCAATACCTTCTTACATTGGAACCCTGTCATTTTTATTATTCATAGCTTATTATGATAAGCTGCTGAATATAGTTAAAAAAACACCAGACAGGTGCAAATAGAAGTGACTAGAGGATATCTGTTAATTTTGATTTAAAAAAACTGACACATAGAATCAATGCTAGCATAATCATCAACTTCTGCAGACTGGGAGTTATAACTTCCGCTGAGGGAAAATACTCGATCATTAATACATTAATAATTAAGGAAACATGGGCTGAACCAAACTCTCACACTTAAACCTGCATATAATATGTAAATAAAACAAGGACAGGAGACCTGTATATAAATGTAAGAAATCCATACATCTGACTCTGTTCTTTCTATTCAGAAGATATCGAACATAGCAGGAAAATTACTTAATAATCATATAACTAATGGGTGAAAATCTACTTGAAGTGCATGTTTCCAGCATAAAAAACATTACGTTGATAATCAAAATTGTCCTTAATTTCTATTAAATATTTTATTCAATATTTAGAAACCAGATTTTGTCTTTGTACATAATAATCTCAAAATAAGTTCTACTGTTCACGCAATGGGTACGTAATCAATCACAAATTATACCTAATTGAATTCTTTCTAATATTTTGAATAATGAAACATTTAAATTAAAAAATAAGCAATTACTTGTTTCATTTATATTTCCAAAATTAACAATAAGAACTAAGGTTGAATATAAAAAAGTTAAATAAACAAAGGAATTTTTAACGGAAATCAATGAAAATTAGCATAGTTTTTATACCTATCCATAATTAAGCACTAGATATATGAAGTCATCTGTTAATAGTAGATATTGAGTAGATATAATCTCTGGTGAGAGAAAGGAAGGATGCAAATGCAAGACAAAGACAATTCCCTAGAGAAAAAACAAAACTATGTAAAAATACAGAGAATCAATGTAATATGAATGTACTACACTAAGCCAACTGAAAATATTTTAAAATTCAGGGGCCCATATTCTGTAAAACGTACTCCATACTTGTAACTCAGCAACATTTCATGAGATAAAATGGTTTATATAAACTCAAAATTAATGAATTGTAACCCTGTTAAAAGTGGACCAAAGAACAAAAACAGGATTTTAATTGTTCACTCGTCACAGTGCACGAGATCTAGAACACAAAGAGAAAACAGAAATATTGGTGATATCTGCTCATTTGTTGTATTGAAATTCCAAAGTACAAAATGACATACGTGGGACAGGGCAGATTTGAATGGATCATAAAAAGCATTGACTACAAAAGCCCACCCCATAAAAATTCAAATCAACATATGAAAGCAATTACATGTATGGGTTGGAAATAGAATTAAGGTCCGATGAATTAAAGTGCTTGTGACAGGATGAAGAGGCGACCTATTCACAACTTCAGTGATATCTAATCAAATAGTAAGACAGTAACAAGTTGATGTCTGGTAAGCCTTAATGTCCAGGGACCTCTAATTACATAAAAATCTTATGAAATATGCTTTGAATAGATAGGAGACATAATGGCTAGAATGAAAACTTCTTTATATTCAGACTGAGCAGTTAAAATTCGTTATAGCATGAACTATTGTTTGAAGAGAACAGAAACAGAAAAAAAAGCTGAATCAATATCGGATATTATGTAAAAATAATAATTTAAAGTTATTCTAAATGCAAAACTAATATTTATTCATTGCTCTTTGAATACATTTCATGAATACACAACCAAATGTATGTCAATGCCTGATTTCACGTGGTCGTAAGCAAGCAGGCTTTTTTATCAGTTCGATATACCTACTACACTCACTGTTCCACTTTTTTATCAGTTCGATATACCTACTACACTCACTGTTCCACTTTTTTATCATTTCGATATACCTACTACACTCACTGTTCCACTTTTTTATCAGTTCGTTATACCTACTACACTCACTGTTCCACTTTTTTATCAGTTCGATATACCTACTACACTCAATGTTCCACTTTTCCGGACTCGACATTGCTTTTCCGCAAAAAAAAAAACACACTGTTTTCCCCGCGACAAATCATACTGCTATTCTGCAATGATATTTTTTTTTACTTTTCCGCGACTTATTTTAACATGTACTTCTTCTGTTAGCCAAGTTGAAATCTTACACGACAACTCCAACTACATATATCCATGTATATTATCAAAAAACTATCACCAACCATGAACTGCTAAATTCATTCAATTTTTATGAAACCATGAGCTCATACCAACTACTACTAACTAGAACGCTTCGAGGAAGTACAAGAAAGTAAGGTTAATATCGCCAACTGCTTCATGCCAAGCTCTATATCCGTAGCCATTGCAAAATGGCGGGAAAGAGTATCAAATAATGAAGATGGAATATTACTGAAAATTAAAACTTGTTGCGGAAAAGCAGTTTGAAAAAGTCGAGGAAAAGCAGACAGGGGGCTGATATAAAGCGCAGAAGAGCAGAACACTGTTCCACTAGTACTTTTCCACGATTCGACACTGCTTTTCCGAAATAAAAAAGCCCTCTTTACACTTTATCCGCCTATAGAGAATTCTGCAGGGGAGATCACTCTCAAATATTTTCACCAGAGACAGGTTACTAGTGTCACTAATTGTCTGATATATAAGAGAAAAAAACCATATGAATTAAACCTCTTTGCTCCGGATAATCATGTCTTGCCAATGACCTTAGGCGGAATTTTTTTTACGAGAGAAGAAGAAAGATCACTTTTCAGTGGCGAATTACATACACGGTTACTTCTCTTCATATTTCTTTTATCGTCTTAATTACATAAATTTTGTAAAAGTGCATGAGAACATTGTGAATTTTTGAATATATAAAATTACGCTACATTACCATAACTTTTGACTTAATACACACAAAGATAAAATTACGTTGTATTTTACTTTAATTTATAGTCGCCCGTGTGGCGCAGTGGTTAGAACGTCTGCTCTAGAGTCGCGGAGTAAGGAGTGGATCTTTACGTCGCGGGTTCGAATCCCACTGCGGGACGTGGAGACCGGTCCTTCGGATGAGACCGTATAAACCGAGGTCCCGTTTCGCAGTAGGTGCTGGCACAAAAAAGACCCCTCACTGCTCAATGGCCCTAAGTGCCGAGTATAGGTCAAAATTTGTAGCAAGTGGTGGCGTCTCCATATGAGTGAAAAATTCTCGAGAGGGACGTTAAATAACAAACAAACTTTTATTTATTTGGTATTGTGTATGAGTTAAATGGATTATTTTTGAGTCGATACGAGGAGTGTGTAGCTAGCTGAGCATAAGTTAGCACACTCATATAGGGACAGAGAGAAAGAGAGAAGCAAGAGAAAGACTTACTGCTTGTTTGATGAAGTAAAGAACATCGGGATCAAGCTCCTCTCTGAGACTAGTCGTCTCGTGATGCAATCTAATAAATGATCTTTCCCTTCTTTGAACTAGTGGAGGCTCACACTTTAGTGGCGGTAACACAGTCGTCTTTTCTGGGTTGATTTCAGTGTCTGTCTGACAGGATTGCTCTTTCACCTCAGATGAGTTGTGCTTTTCAGCAACATTACTTCCATCAGTGGGCAGCTCAATCACTACCGTAAGATCATTCTCTCGACTTTTGTCATCGTCTCTTATAAGAATCTCAATCCTCTTTGGGCTCGATTTACGAGATTTGGATTCATCACTTGTAGGAGAGGGATCAAGTTTGACTGGAGTATCTGCTATTTCAAGGTTACGATTTAGACACGACAGTTCATATGGAAATTCATTATTGTTCTGTTCCACTTCTTCGTTAACTCTTTCAGACTCTGTTGAATTGATATCTTCCACTCTTTTAGGACTGAGTTTGTCATCCCCCTGTTCTAATCGTTGGTTATCTAGGAAGCTAGAAATATCTTGTTCAGTTTCAAATTTTTCAGAATTAATCTTAGAATGTTCTTCACTTGGATTTGAAGTCTTTAGATTTGCTTCATTGTCAAAACTACTTTCATTGTGAAATGCTTTGTCTTCGAGGTTGTCTGTAAATGCCCCATCCTGAGTGCCTATGACTTTTTCACAATCATAAACTTCTTGATCACCTGTCTTGTTTGTTTTTACCAATGTTGCAAACTCTACAGCATTTTCATTCTTTGGTGTATCTTTTGATTCGTTGCTTTCATTCTTTGTGTCATCTATATTTTTCGTGTGCCCGTTTGCTCTGATATCTTGGAGACTTTCGTCATTTAAGCAAGAGTCGTTTATACCGAAACACTCACTCTGTGTTTCAGCGGACATCTGATTATTATGGATGTTGGGATCTGTAGACTGAACTTGCTTTTCAACAAAATGGTTAGTTAATTCTTCCTCTGATTCGGAACTATCGTTTGATCGTTCTACCAAATCATCAATGTTGCCTGTTGAATTTTTCGTTACTTCTAGATTGCTTGTTTTTTCTTCTTTATTTAAGTGATTTTCCTCGATAATCAAACCTTTTAAATTCTTTTCTATAGCCTTACTCTGATTTGATACATCGGGATTTTCTTCCACCTTCGTGTCTTTTCCTTTTTTGCTTTCGTTTTCCATCTCTGTGTCACTCTCCTCGTCTTGTACATTAGAATGAACAGTCATCCTCGAGTCCTTTCGTTCATGTTCTAGATTTTCAAAGTCCACTTCATTTTTCATGTACGGCATAGCAGAATACACTTCCAACCTCGTTTCTTTTCGTTCATTTTTGCAATTTTTCAGATCTTTTTCCATGTTATTATTTGATACATAGCGGTTTTCTACTTCATTTGTTGCTTTTTCTCCACAAACTTTATTTTCATGATCTATTTTGTTGGGTTCCTTGTTTTGGTTTGATACATCAAGATTCCTTTCAGCCATCACTTCTTTTCGATGTGAGCTTTTATTTTCCATTTCTTCATCATTGTTCTCGCTTGGTAAATCAGGATTTTCTTTCTCTAGTATTTCTCTTCGGGTAGAACTTTTCTTTCCCAGATTTTCACCATTGCTCTTGTTAACTTCATTTATTTTTTCTTCAATTTCTGTTTCGTTTTCTTTATAAACTTCATTTTTTGAATATGTTCTAGTTTTTTCGACTGGTTCCTGGGAATTTTCTTCCACGGTCTTTTCTTTTCGTTGATAGTTTTTATTTTCAAGATCTGTTTGTATATAACCGTTTAGTTCAGGATGAGGTTCTTCTTTCCGTTTTTGGTCTTCACAGCCCTTATTTTCTAGATGTGTTTCATTTTCCTCGACTGGTACATGAAGATTTTGTTTAAAACTCATATCTTGTCCTTTGTAGTCTATATTTTCCATCTCTTTCCCATCGCTTTCACCAGGTCCTTTTCCTTTTTGTATGTCTGGGCTCTCCTTCCCATCATTTTCACTAGGTCTTTTTCCTCTTTGTAAGTCTTGACTCTCCTCTCCTTCGCTTTCGTAATGTTTGTCATTTTCTGAATAAATCTGTATTTTCTTTGGAAAAGATTCTTCCATAGCCTGTTTTGAGTTTTCTGTTCGTGTTTGTTGAATCTCCTGGCTCTTAAGCCATCTTTCGAGAACTGCTACTTCGCTAAACTGACGTGATTTAGGATTTTTGTATAGTTTGGCGTTATAAGTTCTCACATCTTGCAGCGATCTCACGAACATTTCAGAGCATTCTTGTTCCTCCTTCATCAAAGACTTCATACTTGCCGCCAGCGATCTGTAGTCGTCGTTACTAATCTGCAGAAACAAAATGATATTCCAATAGAAAAGAGCCAGAGCATTTTTAACGCAAACATCAGTGATAAAACAAATTGTATGGTTGTTTTACCTTTCTCCAGTAGCTTTGAAATGCATTTTCTAAGGACAATTATAAAGAACCCAAGTTTAATCAATTTGTTTTTCAATGCATAATCAATTTATTTTTCAATACTTACTTTTGACATTCTAGATGAACACTTTGAACTATAGACAGCAGTAGCTTCTGGAAGATCTAAAGTCTTATTTCCTTGTTTGTCTGAGACATTGTAAATATTTAATTCCGTCTGTGTGTTGGAAATAACGTTTTTATCTTGATTCTCGGAGTTCACTTCTCTTGATTGTGGAACTGAGCTCTCATTCAGCTTTTCATTATCTGTGAGTTTCATACCATTTGTATGTTTTATATCTAATTTATTTTGTTTTAATGTTATTTTTTCGCTTTCACCACCATTTGGATCACCTACATCTGTTGTTGTGATATCCTGCGATGAACCATCAGTTTGATAGACTTTATTTGTGTCTGGTGACAATTGTGTCTCGCTAGTGTTGGTTTCTCGATCATTCAATAGTTGGACATGTTTAAGATGATTCGATGCGTGTCTTTGATCCTCATCTCCAGATCTGTCATCACAAGAACTATCTCTACTCTGTGTATGAACCACTTCAGATGATTTAATTGTGGGGAAAATTTCGTTTGGGTCTTTGTGTGACATATTTATTGAGGGAATCTCCTTTTCATGCGATATATTAGAAGGATTCTCCTTTCGGTCGTTGTGTGACGTATATGTGGAGGGAATATCCTTTGGTTCGTTGAATGATCCATTTGTAGAGAGAATCTCCACTGAATCTTTCTTTGATATATTTGTAGAGAGAATCTCCTTTGGGTCTTTGTGTGACGTATTCGTGGAGGGAACCTCCTTTGGTTCATTTTGTGATGTATTTGTAAAATGGATCTCCTTTGGATTTCTGAGTAATGTATTTTTAGAGGGAATCATCTTTGACTCTTTCTGTGACGTATTTGCAGAGGGAATCTTCTTTGGGTCTTTATGTGACGTTTTTGTTGAGGGATTCTTGTTTGGGTCTTTCCGTGACGTATTTATGGAGGAAATGCCCTTTTGGTGTGATGGATTAGAGGGAGTCTCTTTTGGATTTTTGTATGATGCTCTTGAAGAAATCTTTTTTTGGTCTTTGAGTGATGTATTTGTAGAGGAAGTCTTCTTTGGCTCTTTGTGTGAAGTATTTGTCGAAGGAATCTCCTGAGGGTCTTTGTATGATGCATTAGAGGAAATTTTCTTTTTGTCATTTTGTGGTGTATTTGTTAAGGGAATCTCTTGAGGGTCTTTGTCTGGTGTTTTAGAGGAAATACTTTTTTGATCTTTGAGTGGTGCATCTGTGGGGGAAATCTCCTCGGGGTCTTTGAGCGATGTATATCTAGAGCGAATCTCCTTTGTATCTTTGTGTGATGTATCTGTTGAGAGAATCTCCTTTGGGTCTTTGAGTGATGTATTTGTAGAGGAAATATTCTTTGGGTCTTTTTGTGATATCGTAGGGGATATATCCTCTAGGTCCTTGTGTGTATTTGGACAGAGAATCTCTATTGAATATTTCTGTGATGTATTTGTAGATGAAATTCCCTTTGGCTCTTTATTTGTAGATGGAACCTCTTGTGTAGAGGCTATCTCCTTTGGATTTTTGTGTACTTTTTCTGTTGATAGAATCTCCTTTGGGTCTTTGTGTGATATATTTTCGCTGTCATTAATCGCGGTGACTTTGCCTGACGACACATTTGGAGTCACACTTTCTATGGTTTCTCTATTATCTTTCGTTTTCGTTTCTTTAGGATTTCCACTTAATTCATTTCTGTCGTCGACATTTTTGAATGATTCTCTATTTCTAAAACCTCCTGATTTAACATTGTACGTTGCTCTTTTATTTATGTCTGCATTGTTGGTTTTTTTGGTTTGACCATCTTCGAAATGAGATTCAACTGAAACCTGTAATCGATCTATATCACCATGACGACCATCAGATTCCTTGTCTTTATTTTCTTTAGCTGGCTCTCCTACCTGCAATATAACGACGTTATTTTGCTTCCTCCCACTTTTTCCTCTTGTTATTTCAACCCTGATTACCTGGTCGTCCTTAACGTCTCTCTCAATTGTTCGATCTTGATCTTGTTTTGCAGTTTCCGATAACCAAAGGTCTTCAAAATTTCTATCATTTTTCATCAATATAGATTCTTGCCGCAACCCTTTACTTTTGGAAATCGATTCTTGCTGAACATCATAATTCACTGAGCCCGACCTACTCCCAGGGTAAGAAGAGGAAGGAATGGAGTTGAGGGTCCTTGTTGACCTGCTTGTCCTTCGGCTACGCCCGCTTTTTAAACTCCTGCTCTGATTACCTCCTTCTTCCTCAAGAGCCCTTAATTTGTCTTCTTTGGTGAAACTGCTCCCTTCATTGTCTTGAATCACAGAAAAGCGGCGACGTTTGGCAAACCCACGGGGTATATGATCTATGTTGGGTTCATCTGGCGCAATACCGCATAACTCTTTGTCTATGACGTTTTGTATGGCGTTTTTGCGGGATTCGTCGTACCATTTTGAGTTACGGCTATGTCGTGTTTGTTCCCGCCTGATGCGAAGCGGATACAAAGCCGATGTCTCTTCATCTAGTGTTCTGTTATCATCAATTGTGGACAGCTGACTCGTGCGTCTTTCAATTTTAGTTTTATCTTCACTTATTACTTGTCTGTTATTAACGTCACTTTTAATGTCCTCTACAGCGGTTTCGTTTCGCTTTATGCGTTCTGTTTTAATGAAGTCAGCTAACGAGGACCTTCTTCTTTTTGCATCCATCTACAACGGGACAAAGTTAATTAGGAGCCAGTAATTAAGTTATAACAAAAGAATCAATTAAGCTTCAAACTTAGCGAAGCAAATTTTGTAACAATGAGTTGGCCGATTCTTTAAGAAGCCTTATTCAACAATCCTAACAAAAAGGAAATATCGTAGACATTGTATGTCTTTCTGTCCATGTTCCTATTAAAGAAAGAAGGTGAAAAAAAGGTAAATGAGTGGTCCAAAGTTATAAATACAAAATTATTTCTGAATAGACCGGCTTTTATTCATTCATCTATTCGATCCATACATGAAGCAAAGCTTTTAAAAGAAGTATTTATTCATTGGTGTATCATAATTATAGACTTCTTTAGAGACTTTTCTCTTTAAAATTGATTAGTATTTTCTGTGTGTATTTTCACGTTTGATATTTCTTTAGGGTTCAAAGTAAATATGCTTCCAGTTTAGCTGTAAACCAAAATCCACGCTCCTTTTTCTGACATTAAGAACTAATACAAATGCGAAATTTTTGCTTCATTTGAGAAATAATCTTAGCGACCTAGATTAACAATGATAACAAATTAATAGAAGTCTAATTAATTATTCATAATATTAAAGTCTATACTTTAACTTTCATTTCTTCTATTGATGTCATGATTTCCGTGTAAAAAAACGTTATTAAAACTGTATAATCTTGAATATTTATTTTAAAAAACTATCTACTCAGTTTATGCACGTTTGGAAGACATATTATTACAAAAAGTGAAACACTTGATTATTAAATCGAGATATGGTTAATAATAAGTATAGAGAAGAAAAGGTAATAAATAACATGTTATCCAGCTCAGAAATTTAACATTTAAATGCAACTTTTTGAAAAAAAAGAGATAAAAGCATTGCTTCAAAAAATATTGGAATTTGAGAACTTTTTAAACATACTTCCATAAAATTTATTCATACATTGTTATAATCAAATTGAAAAAGAACAACAAAATTATTCATACCTTCAGAGCTAACAAAGATCTCCCATGTTCATTTATCCTAAAATGTTGTAACTTTTTTGGATTAAAGACTAAGACCAAGTGAGATTTAAACTAAGGGATGTATACCGTAACCATCAAATATCTTGCTAATCAATGTCTGCCCTGAGTTTCCAATGAGGCCATGCTAGAACAACGTAACAGCGAAATTCGATTTCACAGATTGAACACTGACACCCACAGTTTTTAATAACAAAACGCCAATTAGATACACAGTGTATACGATATCTAAACAATGTATCAATTTGAAGTACATCAAAATTTCCAATCTTCTGGTATGTACATTAGAAAAAAAAATATTTGTTTATTGGAATCCAGATGCATGATATATTTGGTTATTCAACTCAGAGTTATGTTTTGGCAGTGGTTTAAAGAGTAAACAGATTGAGAGACATCAAATGTCTACTTGATGGTGTTTTTATATCGATTTCTTTTTAAATATATTATTGTATTTTTAATATTATTTCTTTTGAATAGAACAACTTAATGAAAAATATTTACTCAACAGTAAATAAAAAGCCTGAAAGCAAACAACGTGATGAGCTTGTATCCCTCATTAGTTGGGACTGCCTTCAAAATATGGTCAACTGATGTCATTGGCGTAAGACGAAAGGGCACATAGCAGAAATTTGAAACTGTACATGTTATTTTAGAATTTTATCATTTTTTGAAAGATATAGTTTCATAACTGCAACGGTGTGTGCAAACAAATTGAGTAACGCTAACGAGTGTTACTCAATTTGTTTGCTTACACTGTTGTATTTCAAAAAATGATAATTCAATGCTTACATTTACATTTTTTCAACTCATTGTCTTGTCTATGTTTCATATTTCAAAATCCCTGTTTTATTCTTCGGATAAGTTACAATTAATAGAAGAGCCATTGCAACATCTACGTTCCTTGTGAACGTGAGAATTTTGATTTTCGCTTTTAACGTTACACTTGCACGACGTTCAACGTTAGTGACGTCAGAAAAAAAATACTTTAACTTTTTGGCCTCGCCGTCCGTATGATGGTGTATGGAATGCCGTAGCTTTCTACACACTTTTGTAGCAAAATACAAGTGGAATAATGATATACTTACTAAAAACAAACAACATTTATTTCAAAAAATATGCCATATATATATATATATATATATATATATATATATATATATATATATATATATATATATATATATATATATATATATATATATATATATATATATATGTATGTATGTATATAAACTCAATCCACACTTACAAATGGATTATTTATATATCGCAAGTTTGTCCGATTGTTATAGGGATTTTTACGAATGAACAATATATTAAGTTTCATGGAAAGTTGTTTCTTCGCACTTGAAATCATCAAACATTACAAGAGAGGGAGAGAGAAAATGAAAGAGACAGCTAGCTATCATCAGTCTAGCTGCAGATCTGATTCTCTGGTCTGAAAAATTGGAATGAACGACCGTAGAGCTACAGTTCCAACCACTAAAAAAATTGTATACTTATTGCAAAAAAGTGCGCTGTTTCTCGGTTGTTCTTCTACAAAACTGTATGTACAAGTCAATGCAAAGCGCTTTGGACCAAATTGTCTTACCATCCAAAATGGCAGTATAAATAGGCAAAATGGTCTCAATTCCAGGCCCAGAAGAGCTATTAACAACGGTTTTGGAGAATGTTAGTTAAAACACGATTTGTAATATTTTGAGATGACCTATTATCAATGGATAGCACTGTAGTTCTCTGGTTGTCCATCTCATTTTTTTTCTCAGACCAGCGAGCTGCAGATCTGCAGCTATCATCAATCAATGTACTGACAAAGTCAATAAAGAACTGGATCGGGTGAGATAAGGGGAAAGTCAGCTGCAAGAGAGATGACTTTCAAGATGTGTTTGTGAAACAAAAAATAAGGTCTTGTCACTACACATGTGAAATATGAAAGCATTTGCACCAACCATTTAGAAAATATGGCAAAGATTAAAAGTTTTTCAAAATTATGCCATTCTCTAAGTTCAAGGTCATGAGGCCAAAAATACTGGTACCAAAGGCGCTTGCCCGGGATTTCATCTAGTTAATTTAAAAAAAAAATTATGAAAGCCGTAGCACCAACGGTTCAAAAGTTACGGAGAAAGTTTATACTAACGAAGGACAAATTGAAAGGTCAAAGTCAGAAATCAAAAATATTGGTACCTAAAGGAAGGTTTTGTTAAAAGAAATACACGATGATATATGAAAGCTTTAGCACTAATCATTCAAAGTTATGGCCAAGGTTAAGGTTTAACAAAAGTAGATCAAACTCCAAAGTCAAGGTAAAAAGGTAAGTGAAATATAAAATCTCTAGAACCGACCGTTTAAAAGCTATGGCTTAGGTTCATTTTTGGTAAAATTTTGCAAACTTTGGTTAAACTTCAAGGTCAAGAGGTCAAGTACAGTGGAATCATCATTGTTCGTGGGGGAATAATGTTCGTGGATTTCGTGGACAAAGTTATCCATGAATTTACATTCCCACGAACAATGATTTAGTTAACATAATTTTAAATTGATTTACATGTATGTATTTATGAGTTACCCACGAAATTGCGTCCCTCGAACTAACAAAATTTTGCTTTCCCACGAACATTGACCACCACGAATTAAAATGATTCCACAGTTTGTACCCAAAAAGAAAGGTCACAAGGAATACACGTGAAATATGAAAGCCCCAGACATTCAATAGTTATGGGCAATGGTTAAAGTTTTTACGGACCAACAGATCAACAGACAAACAGGCAGACAGGCGGATGGATAGACCAAATACTATATGTCCCGAAAAGGGAATTGCTTAAGGTCAAGATCTAGTAAATGAGAGGAGCCTACAGATTTCTCAACTTTGAGAAATAAATTCCTTTAAAGATGCTTAAGTATAGCTTGGTCAAATAAGGTGTATCGGGGCATATTTTATAGGTAAACAAGACGAAAAATCATATTTTAAACTGTCTTTTTTGATGAAAAATTAATAAAGTCAGTCATGAATATGGTAGTTTTTTTCTTTATTGGACAAAGGAAATGTATCCAGATTGCCTACAGTCTCTCAGAAAACGGTAATTTGTTTGTTCTTATCCTCTTCTTTAAATTAAATTTCAAATTGAATATAGGTTTCGGGATTAATTTTAATATGATTTTAAATTGAATTCCATGAAAAAAACTTTATTTTCTTCATAATTCTATTAGAGCCGTAAAGTACGTGAAAAAGAAAGTTTAAACTGATTATGACGTCATAATGGATCTAGCACCAAAAAGACAGTCTAAAGTCATTTACTAGATCTTGCCCTTAATATCATCATGTTGTCAAAGGTAGATCGGTGTTTTACGGGGAGGGGTCATATAAAGCAGTTCAATACCATCTCCATGTAAATGTAAATTATGCTTTTTGTGGAAATGGTTAATTGTTTTGTTTTAACGACATTATTTCATGTTGGTCTTCCCCAGAGAAGGTAAAATAATACAGGCAGGTATTACAAAGGCCTACAGGTGTGGTTAATAGAGGTAAATACACCTTGGCCGAATACACGAGTATGCAGAGGTGAGTAAACATAGCAGAAACCTTTGCAGGTTCTCCGAATATATTTGCTGAAAGGAAAACGAAACGCAGGGTACATAATTTACGAAATATTTTTGATTGCGTGGCCGAAAATTATCACAACTGGTCACAGGCTGCATTAAAATTGCTGTTCAAAATAACTCAACCGTGAAAAGCATGACGTAACGTAGGAAAAGTGTTGAAAAGCCAGTAACACGTGCATATTGATGAAGACAGATTTGTTAATACATTTTCAGAACCACTTGATGAACTGTGGAGGTACACATATCTTTTTTCGATATTTACATTCAATATGAATTTCTTAAAATCATGGTACGGCTGACGGAAGTTCCAAATGGTCTGGTAATTGAATTGCAGTATAATCAGATATCCTGGTATTCATCTCTGAGTGATTCCATTTACATTTCTATTTCTCACCTTTTGGGCTTTTATGATCAAAGCCCACTACCACCACCCCACCCGCTTCCCAAGAAAAATAATTGTAAGAAATCAAAAGAATGTGAAACAAACTATATATTTTTACAACTTCAGCTCATAAATTTAAGAAAAATAATGTTCCGTTTCAATAAAATGGATACAACACACATCTAATGACGACGGAGAAATTTCATAATAGCCAATGATTTCGAATTTTCTAATTTTGGGATAATTTACTACAATTTCAAATGTTTTTGTAGACTTTTTAAATGTTTTTGTAGATTTCAACGGACATGAATTGATAAAAGCATATCTGCATTTATACACTACACGACCCCCCAAACTCTGTTATTATGTACATTTGTACAGTATATACAATATATAAGACGGGTAATCAATTTCTATCTACAGCATATTAAACCTTTAAAAGTAAAGCAAATATTCACATTGAGATAGTATTTGCTTTGTTTTATAATGCGTGAGTAATATCAATTAGCTTCAACTGAAATCACAAATTGATTGCCGACAGAGAAATTTTACTGAGCTGCACAAAGGAGTATGCTAGTAAATTCACAGAGAGAAATTAAAAATATTTGGGTAATAGATCAATGTCCTTCCCTCAACGAGGTTCGATTCCATTAGAATTTTAAAAACACCGTGTTTTTATCAGCGTCCCAATAATTAGTATCTCTTGATTACTGTTCGTTATCTCCATATTTCACTCTAAAAAATATTAAATATCAATAAGCAAATCAAAGGGATGCAAATATCTTCTGTTTTAATTTGAATAGAATACAATTGAGATATATCGAAATAAACTGTTTTCTAATAAACTGGTGGTGGTCTTCCGCTCAGAAGAAGGGTTTGTAACAGACTTTCTCCCGCCGACTACTGGCTTTGATCGCCTTAAATACAGACATAAAGAGGCTTGGGAACTTGGAGAGGAAATACTTGGTCGGTTCTTCTAAAATCTCACGGGCAGCTTCAGTTCTGAATAAAACAAACGAAAACTAAATTACTGTAGATCAATAAATTTTCGCCACACCTTATTGTGACACCTTATTTTCGCGAAATAGACATATACTCTTTATTAGCAAGACAAAATTTTCACGAATTGTGGTTACTGCTATGTAAACTGATATGTACGCGAGAATTATATTTTCGCGAGCACGTTGCCTCGCGTAAGTTCTCGCGAATAAAACGTGATATACAGTAATTAAAGCTTTGTTCACTTATTGGTTTGCCTCCTTTTATTATTCTATCACTAATTCACATTAGAGTTACTTGTTAGCAGTTATCCTTAACGATGTTGGACAAATATAAAGTTTAACTTACAGCTTCTCGAAGTGGAGACAACAGTTGTAGATAAACAGAACCAGCTCTACAAGAGTACACTTGTACTGACGGAATGACCTCATCTCCTGCATCAGTATCGGCTCCACATGACTGGTCTGTATATCATAAATCAGAAGGCATTTGACACTAATATAAATTCATGTCTTTGTTTTAATATAACTTTTCTTTCTCAATCTAATGATTACTAATTCAGTAATTCTTGAAATGTATCCAGTCTAACTGTCCACAGATCAAAGACATTGTATAGCTATAGCGCAACTATAATGCATGAATACATTAACTTGATTGAAAAACAAAAAGTTGTCTTAAAGTTTTAAATAAAAAAAATGAAATGACATTTTGAAAAAATCGGTTAGCCTAAAATCCTGATATTTCCATAATTTGACTCTAATCAATTACTTTAATCTCTCATTAATTCGACTCTATTTCATCACAGTTAACCTATTATTAATTTGAATCATTTACATAATAAATTATGCACTTATTATAGGATTTTCATAATGCTAATTGTTAATTTGTGTCTATTTCATCAGGTCCCTTCACTTAAAAAATCGACTCTATTTCATCAGGTCCATTCTGTGGATTTATTTTAACATGTACATATCTTATATTTCATCATGTTCATTCACTTATTTATTTGACAGTACTTCACCATATTTATTCAATTATATTTTAGTATTAATTTGACAGTATTTTTCACCATGTTTATTTACTTCATTATTCATTTGACTCTATTTCATCGCTGACTACTAGTACTTTATTGACTCTTTTTCACCATGTACATTTTATCTGTTACTTTAATATTATTTATCTGACTCTATCCTATCATGTTCATTCATCATTACTATTCACGTATTCTTTCCACTGACCCATTGATTCATAGTTTCGTCCGGCTCGGCAGAATTCAGTGTATCTATTATTGTAACTTCACTTTTAAATTTGACGGTATTACATCATGTTCAATATATTCACTGTTTTACTGACCCATTCATTCATAGTCTCGTCCTGCTCGGCAGAATTCAGTATATCTATCATCGTAACAGCACCACTCACAGCTCCAGATGTAGGCACTCTGTAGAGGGAAAAAACGAGAGGTCCATAAGCCACAACCCTTACCTGAGTTACCTTTCTCTTCCTAAAGTTCATAATTACTAGTAAAAATTTTCCCTGTTTTGACCTATTATTTGACAAATCTTAATTCTATATGTGTACGGTGCCCATCTGTCTTTTTTTCTGACTGTAAATTGTGTACATGTTCATTTTTTTTTCTAGAACTATTAAACTGATTTTAAGTAGGCTTAGTGATTATATATAGCATTTTCAATGAAAAACGAAGAAAGTCTGGTATAAATAGGAGTTTTTTTTCCGTCCCAGACAAAGGAAATGTATCGGTATTGCCTATAGTCTCTAAGAAAACGGGTTTTTTTTTTTTAAATCTTCTTGGTCTCTTCTTTAAATGATATTAAATTGAATATAGGTATAGGGGTTACTTTTGACATGATTTCAAATTGAATTCCATGAAAATACTACATTTCCAACATAATTCTATTATAGCTATCAAGTACGGGAAAAATTATGTTTAAATCAATTGTCACTTCATAATGGATCTAGCACCAAAAAGACAATCTAAACTCATTTATTAGATATTGACCTTAATTTCAGTAGATTAATAAAATATTGAGTTGTGGTCACCGAAAAAAAATAACCGTTCTGGGATCATTAAAATAATAATAAGAAATAAACTCATACAGACCCATGTTTCATGTCTCTAAGAACATCTGACCCAGCAATCAGAACAAATCGGAGCTTTTTCTCATCGGCCCAGAAATAAGGGTGTCTGAAAGATCAAAAATGGAAATGTACAACTTTATTTACCTCTTATTGTGAGATTGACGCCACACAAAAAATACTACATGTATTTTTGCCAATAACAACGGTGATTCAGTTCACTTGGAATGCAGAGGATAAGGAAAGTATGTCGTGTACATGTAAATGTGTCTTGCAAAATTAATAAAAACAAAATATAAGTATTTGTGTTGACAGTCAATTGATTTTATTGGTTAATTACACAATAATATCCAATAAGTATCTTTTTCCCAAAATTCTTTACGAATGCAATGTTATGTGAAAAAAAATCTATCCAGAAATTGCAATGGTTGCGATGTGATACGTACTTGAGAATGTCAGGAAACTCTGGTCGTTCCGTGGGAGGCATAACGAGCATGTCAGACACAAGGCTGGCCAACTCCTTGTTCTGATGGGAGATCTTTGGCCAGTTGGCCTGTATACTGACTGTAATCTCTAGACTGTTCTCACCATAAGCGTGCATCCCGCCAGACATAATATAACAAATCATCATACCAGCAACCTACGAAAATTTAAAACTACATAACTTTGTTGTCAGAGATATTTGCTGAACGTGTAGAAAAACCATAGCGACCAACACCTGTATATCTGACTTGATGGAGTACACCTTAGGCCAAGTCATAGCGAGCCTTACCTGTATAACTGACGTGATGGAGTAAGCCTCGGACTCGGTCATTACCTGTATATCTGACCTGATAGAGAACTCCTCGGACCCAATCATAGCGATCCTTACCTGTATATCTGACCTAATGGCGAACGCCTCGGACCCAATCATAGCGACCCTTACCTGTATATCTGACTTGATGGAGTAGGCCTCGGACTCGGTCATTACTTCTGTTGGGGTCCAACAACTCCTGTCCTCTGTAAGAGATTGTAAGAGCAGTTTTAAGCCTGATCCGTGAAGTTGAGATCAGATGGATGAGAAACAACAAATGGAAAAGAAATTCAGTAAGAATGACCTCACCTGATATCGCCTTACTATTCATTAACTGAATTTGCCTCGATGTGTTTCTTGGAAAACCATACTCACTGAGGCGAAGTCTACCTTCGGTGTCAACCAAGACATTGGAGGGCTGTAACATAGAAGTACAAACTGCATAAACAGGTGCAGAGAATCACAATAATTTTTTTTATCAATCAAACATTTGTATCTTTATATCTTCATAATAAATTTTAGTACTTCAAAATTATCCATCACCAATACTTTTATGAAGGATGATCTAACGATTTTTTAAATTAATTTTTGAAATTGATTGGTTGATTATGTTTTTGTTGAAATTTTCTGAAGGGCTTTTCACCATGATATTTCCGTGAGGAATGCCACAGTTCTCGTGCAGTGACGTCAGTCCCTTGAGGAGCTGCCAGGTGAGCCTTGTGACCGTTAGGGGGTCCACTCCCTGATTCAGACGCAGCATACTCGTGTATTCAGCCAAGGTGTACTCGTGTAGCTCCATCGCCAAGTAACACACATCATCCACTATGACGAATGACTAATAATTAGAAATGAAAGTAAAAATAAAATTAAGAAGCAATCATGACAACAAAATAATGATGTTGATATCTTCTAACTTTTACAGCAATTATACGAATAAGATTTTATTGGAATCCCTCAAAATCAAACTTTATCAGCTTGTCTTGTGGGCAGCATGGTGCATCTGTCACTAAAATCATGTGTTCACCACAAAGAACCTGAAACAGTCTTCACATAAAATAAGTAACATGTAAGCCATGTAAGTCCTTAATAAAAATCAAATGTGACAAAGCTCGAGTCTAATGAATGTTATACATACCTTATACTTGACAAGAAAGAACTGATTAATATTATCTGATACTAAAGTTTGTAGGAAGCCTTTGTCGAGTGGACGGTTCTTAAGGTCAACCAGCTGGACTGCCACCTCTGACCCGTCACACAGAAAGCCAAGCACGGAACCCTCGTCCCTGGAAACCAATGAAATATTATGTACGAAGAAAATCTCTATGAAGGGAACACTTAAGTCAATCTCCAGACAAATAAATAATTTACTCACGAGTACGAAATTTTGTATTTCTCATATTGTGCAGGAAGGATGATATCCCCAACACGTCGCCGTAGATGCTCTGGTAGTTCGTATATCTCCTTCAGTTTAGATCTCCATCTACAGCTTCTTTTGTTCCATGCGTTTATGCATGCCTTTGTAGATTGAGGAAACACGGCCTTCGGCTTTGGTTCCTCTCCATTGTTTACCATTGAGAACTCACTGCTGCGATATGCCTCATCCCTGTCTGTATTCCTTGTGTCTCTACTTTGCAAGTGTCCACTCTGTTGTACTGTGTTATAACCGTGGCTATCATTGGTCATTGAAATTGGTTGGAGATTTGTAGTGAAAATATTAGGACTACAAGGTGTACCATGATTTTCTCGAGAATTCAAGTTGTTTTGGGGGGTATTCTCAGCTGTTGGCATCAGTACTTCTTGGCGCATTATGTTTTCAACTTCTTGTTTGGATAACCCTAGCGCAGAAGCGTAATACTGGAAGTCGTGGAAGTAATTGGTCTGTACAGCAGCGGGATTGTTGCTGAACTGCCGATAGTAGTTGTGGAGTTGAATGAATTGTATCAACTCCATCTTGTGACGATTAAGTGCTAGTCGACTTTCGTCGGCAGGATTTTCTTCAGGATCATGAAATCCAGGAAACGAATTTACATGTATATCATCCTTTTCATCGCGTAGTTCCTCAGGAAAGCCGATATCATCACGCTGATGTTTGATAGTCAATGCATTTCGAAGTATACTGTCTCCCAGAGGACAGTTTCCTGAAATTGTTTCCACTTCTTGGTCTTTGTTCCTGTCTTGAAGAGCCAGACGTGGGTCAGGTGAAAAGGTAATACCAGTAGCTTCCAAACCATCCAAAAAACTTCTCAATGCACCTTCCCTATCGCCGTTAGGTACTTGCCAGTTGCTGATCTCAGCTGCCTGCCCGGGCTTTGTGGACTGCTCATGTTGCAATTTACGTTCATGGCCAATAGGTTTAATGACAGCTACTTTGGTATTATTTGTTTCAACGGGTTCTTGCTGTCCGTCGTCGTATGTATTCTTTAAAAGTTCTGCTTCAAGTTCAACCAGTGTCATTTTCCTACAATTTTTATCCACTGAACAATTGTTTTGTGTTCCATAAGACGAATATTTTTCTGTCGTTTCAGCTGACTTGGATGGATTTACTTCACTTGAGTGGTTAATAAGACCAACATCTGAGGTAAAAGGGGCAAAGTTAATATTTTTCGTGTCCAGATTTTCAATATCTGTTTTGATCCTATTTCTATATGGCTGTACGTCATTTGAATGACACGAAGGGAGTTCTGTGTTGCATACCACACGTTTTTTGGTGTTATTTTCAAAACTGTTTGAACTGAAAAGAGACTGATCGTCGCTTTGTACTTGAATGTTCATATTTGGGTTGGGCTTCGAGCTCGTTTTAAATGCAAATACGTCTTGTTTGTAAGTGTGATTCCCTGTGTTTTTGTTCCTGCTTTGTTCTCCTTGCTGATCAAAGTTTTGATAAGCATTCAATTCTGGTTCTGAAACTGTGGTATTCATAAACTCAACTGCAACATCTTTTAAAGTAGGGGCTGGAATTTTACCCCAAGGGCACGTGTTTTGTTTTCCAATTGGGGTTATGGTAGCGTTCTCGGACAGCATTATATCGCTATTGGCATCTGCTAGAAAAACAAGTCCCGCAGCATTTTCGGAAGGGTCATAGAGTGTACCCATATCAACATTGCCTTTCCTCCGTGATTTGCTGTGTCCTTTATAATTCGAAGCTTGCAATTGATCTTTAACTTCTTGTAAATCTTGAGATTTGTCAAAAGAAGGAATGTTCTTGTTATCTTCAAAGGATACAGGGTGTTGGGCTTTCTGATGGCTTTTGCATACTTCCGAGTTTTGAGTACTGAATTCGGTTTCAATTCTTTTGTCTCCAGTTTTCAAAGAACGGTCATCATATGAAGATACAGTTGTTGAAGGTACATCAATCTGTTTGAGTTTATAAAAACCTTCTTCTACGGTGTGGCGAACATTCTTTTCAAACTCGGACGTATCCATCCAGTATACATCGCTTTCCACTTCTGTGGAGTTTTGTTTGCTATACTCCACCCATGCAGGGACTTCTTCGCTTGGGTCGTTAGCAATAGCCGCCAGGTACTCGTCGCTGTCCCAATGCTCAGCTGTGGATTCAGACTTCATTGATTCAGGAAAATCCTCCTCGTCTTCCCACTTTCTTGTCATGCTTTGCTTGAGAGAAGGAAATTCTTTCCAATCATCTGTTTGGATTGGTGAAACCGATTCAACCACCCGAGGATTTGGTATATTATTCTCGGTGTACGCTGTCTCTTGGTGGTGCCTCTGACACAATACATCTGACCACCTACGTGATTCAGAATTCTGGATTCTCAGCGTACTGGTATATTGCGGTGAAGGTTTGGACCTCTCAATCTTCTTGCCAGGCTTCTTTGGACCATTCTGTGTGTCTGTCTTTTGTTGATTTTTCTTTCCAATTACCTTTGTCCAAGACTCATACTGCTCAGCAAAATACTTTTCACTATCTTCCTGCTGAGTATCATCAGAAAACATCTGGTTTGTTTGCAGGTCTTCGCCATATGACCAGTTCTCATCATCTCTCTGTTTTGATTTCTTGGTCTTCTTCCTTTTGTTTTCTTTGCTGTTGGCTGATTTATTCATTGCTGCATGAAACTCTTTATTTTGACTGTCATTGACGTTTTCTGTTTTATTTGTTTCTGACCTTTTCTCTATCTCGCGAGCTCCTGTAAGTTCATTGACTAGATTAAACTCCTTCTTAAATTGTTCCTGAATCCCGATGTGATCCCCTGAATCTTTATCGGTATGAACTGTGTATATTTTTTCATCCTTGATGCCAGGCTCATTAGAATCATCTGGCTCTTTTTCCTGAAGTTGTTCAGTTGCAATTCCCTCCTCAGAATCTTCTGTCCTCTTTTGTTTTTCTCGCAGTCGCTTCTGTTTCTTTCGTTCTCTTTTCTTCACTTTTCTGGTTCTTTCTCGTTCCTCTTCGTCTAGCAATTCTTTCATCTTGGAATTTCTCTGATTTCGCTGAAGATGATCAAACTCGTCCCAGAACCTAGTCCACAAGGTATGTCCTTTTTCCTTCAAAACCTCGTCGTGGTGTTTGAGCGTCGCAAATTTACCTCTCAGAGATATGTAGGGTTCAATTTTGCTTGTGTTCTGTTCAATCCAAGTCTGGCAAATTTTGCACTCGTTAATGCAAACAATGGGATAAAAGACAGAAAGCATGAACTCTGTTGAGTGTTTTCCGGAGTCTGTGTAGAATTTCAGTGCTCTGAGGCAGAATTCTGGTCCTCTTGCTTGCAGAAACTGTCTGGCGAATCTTTCATCTATCATTGAGTTGTACCGATACATGCATGAGCAAAAGACAGCGCACGCGCTGCTGACAACCTCATGATGTCGTAGGAATTTCTGAACGGCTGAGAGCATGTTTGGAATCAGCTTATCTCGGTACAAGATGTCACGACCTGGTTCAACTTTGGACAAATGTAGAAAAACAGGGATTAATGTGTCCGTGAAAAAGTCATCAAAATCTGCATCTTCCACCATACTTTTCATCCGATCGATTCGATTCTTTAAAAAAAATCAAGTTTTTACAGAACTTTCACATGAACCAAACTGAATCATAAGAATGTGATAATTTCATATTAAATTTTATTAAATAAGTTGAAAATAGATTTTGGACCATCCAAGCTTAAGATGACTGGATACATTTTATACCTTGACATAGACTTCTCTGTTTTTCTGGGACATTTTACAAAGTATATGTTTGACAAACTCCTCTCCATTGTTTTCATCTTCGAATCCATAACAGACTGCTGTACAGTGGCACTGAAACGATCAAAGTCACTATAGCTTGCCTTGCACATTTTGTTTTGTTTCGAAAAGATCGTGGAAACGGTGGGATGGGGGAGTGTTGATATAAATTCCAAATCATGATTTAATTGAAGTTCATTTCTTTCAAATTTTGGCATTTTAGATTTCCCAACCGACTGAATGCCTATGTGAAAAGTACTAAATAAATTATTTCATTCAGCGAACAATCTAATAAACTGGGGCCCAGTAAACCGTGCATAGCTCCTCTCTTCATATAACACTGTATTTGATGTGCAGTGGCGGACCTAAAGGGGTAAGGGTCCTCCCCCCAGTTTGATTTTGGGACAGTGTGGGGGAGAGAGAGAGATAGCGCTGGGGAACAGAATTGTGTAAAAATGTATAGCCTATTGAATTTTTAAACTTACTAGCACTATCAACACTGTGTAAGTCTTTAAAAACTTCTAATTATCTCAAGTGCACGTGAAATGGAAAAATAAGCATTTTCCCTCACATCGATTCGGTCAAATTAAACAATAAAATGCTTTTTTTTTTAAGTTGGTACGGGAATTAACGTTGCACCAGTGTTGCAGAAAAAAAATACATTTATAACCAACATTTATAAACGTTGGTTATAAATGTATTTTTTTCAATAGCTGCAACCGTTAATTCCTGTCAGTAAACAAACAAAGAAGGCCATTTTATTGTTTAATTGTATATTTATGTCTGTATAAATAATTATTCTATAAAGAAGGTTTAAGGATTCTCTATATACTAGTGATAAGTGATTTTTGGACAGAAAAAAATTTTCAACATAGGGTACTTTATTCCGCGGAAAAAAAGTTAAAATATTGATGAATAAAATCACTGTTGCTTAATCTAATGGGGAAAATACATGCAAATAGACTAAAATGTTAAGAATGTCTGTATTGATTGCAAATCGCTATTGAATTATGTTCTGTAGATTTTAAACTTATTTCATTTTAGATCTAAGGACAGATCATTCTAACTAAAAAAAAGTGGAATTAGAACTCCTTAAAATGAAGTATTTAAAGGGTCTGAAAGTGTCAGAATCTTTACTGTTTTTCATAAGAAATAAAGGAGAAAATTTTCAGTGTATATAAATTTATATGAAAATTATATCTAAATCATCCAGTAATCAATTTGATTTTGATAAATCGGGTCGTACAATGTAACAAAAAAAATTGCTTTGATCATGATACAGTGTATACAACTGTATACTGGACCTTTTCAACAATAAAATAAAAAAAGGATCGATTGTGTAAATTAGTCTTTTCCAAATTTTTGTTTAATAAAAGTGATCGGGTTCGAGATTCTTCAATACACATGGTTGTTTTTCGGTTTCGAAACCGAACGAACTTGACGTTGACCGTGGTATTTACATCATTAACTTAATTCACAGCGATGTCGTATTGTCGAGAAGAAGGTATGGAAATATTAAGAAAACTGCATTGAGAAACATTTTATTTGTAAAAATCTTGGAACTCTCTCCAAACGTCATTCATTGACATTAATCAGTTAATTTCAGTCATCAAGTACTGTAAATCATCAAGATCTAGCAAAATTCTGTTCCGATACTACTATCATTCCAATAACAGCGTGTCATTTTGTTTAATGGAAAGTGCTAAGGTTTCAAATGTTGATCGCCATATTCTCATCTACTGGTTGTTTCATTTCAATGAAATGTTTCATTTCAACAGGTCCAGGAAAATCACTATATTTAGCTATATAGCTTAATTTACCTATATAGCTTTATTTACCTATATAATATAGCTTTATTTAGCTATTTTAGAATAAGTTTCTGTTTTATGAAAAGCAAACAAAAAGTCGCATGAAAATTATGGCTGATATTTTTTTTAAAAGGTTTGATAAAAACAACCTAGGGCATAGATAGTAAAAACATTGCCTCTTTTAAACACTTTTTAACCAAAAAATGCATCTCTATTGTTTGGATAGCTGTCCATTACTGGAAGTGCGATGAGGCATGACTAAGTGTGATTGCCTTGCATTGTGCTGAATGATTACCAATCAATTATCTTGTTGACCAAAACTGCTTTTCTTTGTTAAAGTAGCTGCTTATTCACAGATTAACTGTTATACATAGCCCCAAAACTTTTAGATCTTTGATTGCAATTGCACAAAAGGAGAAACATTTTTAAAAGTGGGTTTTTGGTGAATTGTTTTCAGTCCATTTCAAAGTTGAAAACTAATACTGCCGCATTATGCAACTTTTTGTCTGCTTTTCATAAAACAGAAATTTACTCTGAAATAGCTAAATAAAGCTATATTATAAAGGTAAATAAAGCTATATAGGTAGATTTAGCTATATAGCTAAATATAGTGATTTTCCTAGACCTGTTCAATGAAATGAATACAATTTTGCATTATTCTCTTTAGAGAGGTGGACAGGCTTTCCCCTACATCGGCGAAAGCCTGTCCACTTCTGTAAAGAGAATATACTTTGCATATGAACAGAGAACCCAGCAAGGCCCTGATGTCTGACCAATCGCATTGAATGATGGTTTACAAGTATGAACTTTGCAGGAAGTAGCAACACAACACGTGGTCAGTCAAAGCCCTTTGCTGTATCCTCTGTTCATATGCAAAGAAGTATCTTTTCATTGAATTCAAACATCCAATCAATGAGAAATATGGCGATCATTTGAAACTTTTGCACGCTCCATTAAACAAAGTAACACGCTGTAATTGGAATCATAATATATGTGTTGCATGTCCGAAAGGTAGTCAGACGTCTTGGCCCATCATATCCGACACCTCTGCCCAGACAGGTTGACCCAAGATTTAAGACAGGTCGGCTCATATAAAAGACATCTCAGCCCAAGAAAATTGTAGAATTACTGTATCTAACATTTAATAATCTTTATGGAAAGTTTGATAAATATTATCATTGGTACTTCTTTTACGAATATTAATATGAAATTTAAGAAAAACAAGAAGTTATATGAAGGCTGTCCAAAAAGTTTGTGGACACATATGCTATATTTTCTTTATAATTACTACAGCACCTAATGTGTGCAATAATATTTTGATTTTGGCCATGATTTACTGAAGCCATTAGTAAAAATTAAAACAAATAGCAATGATGTACCAATGAATATGTTACTTGAAGACTTGAATGTTTTACAAGCCTTTTCATAAGTAACCCTAAGCGTCACCCATGAGGCGTGTGTGCTTGAAACAGTGAAGGATGCATCACATCATCATGTTTATTTACCAGTTCGTACTGTATTATGGTCTTTTTTTTTCTCCATTATCATCAGTTTACTCAAGGGAGGGTGTTTTTATGGTTGAATAAAACCTTTATCATTTATTCATTAATAGAGAAATGCAATGATTAAAAAATTCATGCTTTTCAGGATCTTGTTTAGGGTCTGACTGCAACTTTTGGTTAAAAAGTTGACGTAGTGGACTTGAGTTGACTTGGTTATGAGCAGGTCAGGTTACAAATTGACCAGAAATCCTTATCGATTGTTATAAGCAATTTAATGTCAAAGTGATTAGCCAGTAAATAGCTTGTCCAGCCTTAGTCCTTAAAAATTTAATTGTACCCTGACTGAGAGTTAACCACTAGCTAATCACAGGGGGATAGAATGAATTCTTTTTTATTTAAATTGCAACTACAACTTGTTGGTTTTTCTCAGCTATTATTTTTTTTGGGGGGGGGGGGGGGGTAATTAATGCAGCTTTGTTAATACAGCTAAATTAATTTCAGGTAAAGATGGAAAAGACAGGATTGTTTTTGTGACCAGGGAGGAGGTTTCTACCCCAAGTCAGGCCATGATAGCCCAGGAAGAGGAGGAACTCTATGATGGCCCCAGTAAGCAGTCATTCTATCAAGTAACAACATTGTATCATTGTACAATATGTTGCAGTAGTTCTGTTTTATTTGCTTTTTTAATAATGATCAAATATAAACAGAAATCCTATATTTTCAAACAAAAAAGTGTACAGTTGCACCCAGTGGTGTGGTATATTAAAATTACATGTATACCATTCAGTCTTTAAGGACCCTTTTCAACTATCAACAATGGACTAATGTATATGGAAAACTTTAGACTGAATTTACAAGGCAACTTGACATGGAGTTAGAATAAATCTGCCTTTCACTGGTTAACAATAAATTTAACTTTAATCATACTACCTGTTGTGTTTGCATAATTTTCCCATTCATAAACTTATTTAGGAGATGTAATTAAATATTTACAATGAACAACTCTGGAAATGTTTATTGATCTTATTGATATTGTATGAGGATATTTCTGGACCATTTTCAATATATTAGATATTTTGTCTTACTTGATTTTAGCATTAAACCACCTGAACAACATGAAAGACAACTATTTTCCCTTAGTTACAATCAATAAATTTCATTCATAAATTCAGTTTATATGCTTTTTTTAGCTGGATTTGTGCAGCCTAATGGAGACCTGAATTTTGGATGTCCCTGTGTGGGGGGTCTCCATGCTGGACCCTGTGGGTACGAGATGAGGGAGTTTTTATCCTGTAACTATTACAACTCCAAGGACAAGGAGGATCCCCGGGGGCAGGGCTGTGATGAAAAACTAGACACCATGATGTCCTGCATTCAGAAACATGCTGACTATTACAGGGAGAAGATGTCTGGAGATGACGAGGAAGAGGAAGATCCCTTCACTATCACAGAAAACGAGGAGGAGGAAGTGTCCTCCTCCCACATCGACGTGACCAGCAGCATTGTGAAGGACAAGGAGGAAACAACAGAGACTGGTACCCAGTCCTGATGTTCATGTGTGAACTAGTTTTCTTGTTGTTTTTCCCCTTTGTTATGAATGTGAGTATTAATGTTGAAAGTAGAGTGATCCTGTAGTGGCTAAGATATTGACAATTGTGTGTCAAAGGTACTATAGTAATGAGTTTTTTTAATTAAGTAGACAGTTTTTTATAATTATGTTGGCATTTTTTTTTTCAAATCATTGAAACACTGTGTGAAACTTTGCAATTGTTCTGTTTAAGGAATCATTTTTTTTGTAATTTATTTTCAAATGTATTTACTGCGCCTCCTTCTACTTTGTATTCAATGGCATTAATGAATGATCAATACACAGTTACCATTAAATTTTATACATTGACAGTGATAAAGGAGCAACTTCACAACTATGAGCATTTTTGACATATTTTAAAACCAGATTCTGTACATGTAATTTATGGCATTACTCCATAGCATTCTTCATGAGGAAAATTTCATTAGCTTCAAGATTTTTCTTCCAAAATATTTATTTCATACTGTTAGGGGGAATTAACTCGCATTGTTAGTTGTAAAACTAAATTTACATCTTGACAAGGTTGCAAATTTAGGAAGCATTGAATAATATAAAGAAAAGGTCAATGCATACACATTGAAGACATTGAATTCAAATATCCATGATTAGATACCAAAGAAAAAAAAAGGACAACTTATTATACATCTGAACAGTTTTAAACCCTATACTCTGTAAATGATTTATTTATAAGAACTTTATTTTTCTTTTTAGATAATTTCATAAAAATATGTGAATATAAAGTTCTTGCAAATGAAATGTGATTTATTGTGAATCAGATGCATTTTATATTGAATTTGAGTTGAATTAGAGACTGCCACATATATTTCATTAAGACTGAGCGCTAGGTAATAGGAAAAGTGTGTAAATTTGTTTATATGTTGCATTATACTATGGGCAGTAAAACATTAAAAACAGACATTAAAAAATAGCATAGGTGTTATTAGTTACATAGTTTTTTAGTGACAGGGTACGGGATGATACCTGGTTAGTAAATTTCATACCTGGCGAGGCGAAGCCGAGCCAGGTATGGAATTTACTAACCAGGTATCATCCCGTACCCTGTCACTAAAAAACTATGTAACGAATTTACCCCACCGATGAAATATTTATGCATTGTCTGTGGTTTGTAAAATTGTTTTTCTCACTATATATATGTTTCATCACTCATACAATGCCTATTATGACGTCACGTTGTGTGACGTAATGTTGTTTTGCGAGTGTTTCGTGCTGTAATAACGTACTGACAGTTTTGAAGACTTTCAGTAAAGGGAGAAAAAGGTTCCATCTTCGTTACTTACATTAGTTAACTGTAACATTGTCAACAGACACTCGGCAAATCGCGTGAACTCGAGTTGTTCAAACGTTACAAAAGAACGATAACTCCGTATCTACCATGTATTGATTTTCAAGCGACTAGGTATAAGTAATACACCCCCTTCACGTGACAGACTTCAACCAATCGTAAGCCAGGATTTCCTCGAAAAATCAACAGAGGTGGGGTAATGTTTTGTACCTGTAATTATGATCACCCACAAGCAAAGTACCAGAGGACTGCAGAAAAAGTAGAAAAAATATATGATCTGGCCATATGGGGAGAATTCAGGATAAGATCATTTTCCTTTTGTTGGAGGTACTATTCTTAAATTTTGAAAGGAACAGCATTGTCCCTTAAAAATGGAGAGGGGTTAGTGGAGGGGGGGGGGGGTATATAGGAATATTTCGAGAAAAAAGGAGACAAGGGGGTGTCTCAGTTTAACTTGAAATCATCATATACTGTAGATAGAAATGTCTTAGAGATTATTTTAATATACCGAACAGCATGTAAATACATCCTTAAATTCTTGAAATGGCCCTCAAAGCCAGGCTAAAGAATGATGAGACAGGTGATCAATGTGAGCATTGTTTTTTCTTTCCTTTTTTAAAATTTGCTCATTTTTTCTTTTTTTCTTTTTTTTTTTTTTTTGTTCTTGATTTGAATTTAATAGCTACCTATTTTATACGGTATAAACTGGGTTGGGGCAGTTTACGCTTTATAAACCGCGAAGCGGTTTATAAAAAAAGCGTAAACTGTTCCAACCCAGTTTATACCGTATAAATTGGGTAGCTATTAAATTCATTCCTTATAATTTAATTTTCATTCATTTGGTGTAAGAAAAAAAGATGATTGTCCTTAAAAATGACTTCAATTTGTACAAAATTTGAATGTAACGTCAGGCGGATCGATACGTTTTTGAGGCAAGTCATTGTGACGTAGGCAACCCATTTTGTACGATATAAAACAAATTTTTTATCCAATCAAATACAGCGTTACAACCAGAATTAAATTATTTTATTTTATCCCCTCCTTATATAGACAGGACTGTGATACTTACATCATCCTCAATAAGAATATCTGCCCCCTCATCAATCAAAACGTCTGCTACTTTAGTATCTGCCTTCATAGCAGCCAACATCAGGGGTGTACAACCGTTCTGTAGGGCAGAAAAATATGATGACCAGCTTTAAATATCGTGAGGTCACAGAATGAAGATGAAAAGACCATTACCTAGTATTTAGTCCGAAGTATCTGACGTTTTCCAGGCTTTTTTCCACGATTTTGATATTTTACGTGCCAGGAAAACGTCAGAACCGGCGCCATTACGAAAACTGGAAATTTAACCGTCTCCAACCGGAGCTGATTTTCGATACTTGCGAACTTAATTAAATGCCGAACTTACAATTTATCAGTAGCACAATGCTTCTAGTGCTCACCAATATTGATGAAAAGAAAATATCACTCCACATTCGATACAGGTCTTGCAAGATTTTAAAATGCACGAAATAAAAAGAAAACTCGACCGTCTGATAAAATGTTTTCACCAGACTGTATATTTCATAAACAAACCATAAAAACGATGTTGGTGAGTACTAAAGGCATTGTACTATTAATAAGTTGTGAATTCAGCATATAATTCGGTTCGCAAGTATCGAAAATCAAACCGAAAATGCCGCCTCCAGTTGGAGGCGGCGAATTTCCAGTTTTCGTAATGGCGCCGGTTCTGACGTTTTCCTGACAGGTAAAATATCAAAATCGTGAAAAAAGCCTAGAAAACGTCAGATATTTCGGACTACCTAGTATTACGAGTTAACTTACATTGTTTTGGACGTTGACATCGGCACCACAGCTGAGAATGACCTTGACACATGTCTCCCAGCGCTTCTCGACAGCAAAGTGTAGCATGGAGTGACCAGTCTAGATATCAAAATAATAATGAATGTTTAAAATTCACGTGTACCTTTGCATACTGTAAAATATCAGGAATCAGTGATGAGATTCTGAGTTGACTGCTACCGTACCTTATTCCTATGGTTAATATCTACTTGGGCTCTCTGTGGCCACATTGTGTTGACCACTTTAGCGTCCCCCGTTTTTATTGCTACCATCAGAGAGTTGTTTCCCTCCTGTAATAGTCAAATGTTTTCAAAGTTGATTTCAGAGATTTTTAGCTCTTCTGAGCCAAAGGCTCAAAGAGCTAATGCTATGGCCATTTGTGCGGTGTGCAGCGTGCGGTGTGCGTAAACTTTTTAGAATATGGGCCTTAACTCAAGAACCCCTTGGCCAATTATTGTCAAATTTGTCATAGGGTATCCTTGGCCCAAGGGCCCCCTTTAATACTTAATTCTTAAACAAGGCTAGATAATTAGGAAAATAGAAACAAAAGTACTGGTTGCTAAAAAATCTTCTTCTCAAGAACCACTGGGCAGATTATACCAAACTTACACAAAAGGATGAGGATATGTTTTAGATTAAAATTTGCACGGGGATTTACCATGGGGCAAAGGGCGTGGTCTCAAGGTCACTTCAAATTGACCAAAAATTACATTTTATTAAAATGTTGATATTTTGCTTGCTATGAGGACTAGGGTCATCAAATCTTGTCAGTTGATGCATCTAAGGCCTCATATCATGTTGACTCAAAAGTAGGTCACGGTGACCCACTTTTTAAATTTTGCGGCCATTCTTTTTTAAAATGATTTAGGGGCATATTTTGAACAATTTAAGGCCTATGATCATCAAACTTTGTCAGTTGATGTATCTTGGGTCCTCAGAGTACGTCAACTAAAAAGTAGGTCACCTTGACCTACTTTTTGAATTTTATGGCTAATCTTTTTCAAAACAATGAAGGTCATTAATTCGAATACTGAGAGGTTTAGAATCATTAAATCTTATAAGATGGTGCATCTTGGGGCCATAAAACATTTTTAGTAAAAGTAGGTCACATTGACCTACTTTTTGAACTTTGCAGGCATTCGATTTCAAAGCGTTTTAGAGGCATAATTTGGACATTTTAAGGCCTATGATAATAAAACTTTGTAAGTTGATGCAGGTCCTCGAAAAACATCAACTGAAAAGTAGGTCACAGTGACCTACTTTTGAAATTTTATGGCTATATATAAATATTAAGGGTACTATTGGGCTTATAGTAATCAAAAGAGCCATAGTGCATTTGATAGGCATTATCGCCTACTCTACTAGTGATTTCTTAAATTCATTGTTAATCCAAAATTTTGTCATACAATATTAGTTTATACATACATAAAAAAAACCCACACAATAATGATATTTCAATATTGATAGTTCCTTCATATGATAAATATAAAATTTTCCAGTTTGTATGGAGTGTATAGTAAACATTGAGGTATCCACCTAAAGATGACAAACTGTTGTCAAAGACCACCCTTAACCAGACAAACAACTTTTGAATAATTTTATTTGGATATGACTGCACTTCATTACATTTAGATAATTTTGGTCAAAGGTGGTCTCCGTATTGAAAATGATGAAAATATATATTCAAATTTTCTTCTCATATAATCGTAAGATTTAGCAATCTGCCTTAAATTTATCCATTCGACGTCATTGACTTCGTTGGCGCAGTGGTATGATTGCTGGAATGTAAATATGGTGATTGCGAGTTTGAGCCCAACATTTTTCCATTTATGCTTTTTTTAATTTTTTTTTTCTTTGTATATCTTTTCTACGTTTTTCTTTATTACGTTTTATAATATGCATAATTTCAGGAAGTTATAATATACACATTACACTTTGAAAGTATCTCAGGAAAAGACAGTCCTAAACTATTTTATTAAAGTCATATATGGCGTATTTAACTAAAATTAAAAAGATCTTTCTATTTAATTGTTTTATTACTTTATATAAAGATAGGACTTTCCTGTAAATTACACAATTAAAATCAATCACGTTTCACAGGTATTAGAAATTTAATAAAATACCCAATTTATTTAACTACTCCGCATTTAATTAACAGACACAGTTTAAAATATTTACATTTCCAATGTCTTTGTCCGAGATAAAATTACAAATTGTAAAAATACTTTATTTCTACATAAATCTACTGGTTCATCGATAGGCGCGGCTAAAAAAAAAATCACGTGCGGGGCGGGACAAATAGAGACGGAAGCGGGGCTATTAGCACGGGAATTTGCAGAATCAGGAGCATGTAAATATAAGGAATAACTGTCAGATTTTTTGGATTCATGACGATGATCAATCGATTGGCTTGCGTGATAATTTTATGCATAAACGCCTTCGGCGTTTATGCAAATTATCACGCAAGCCACTCGATTGATCATCGTCACGAATCCAAAAAATTAGACAGTTATTCCTTAAATCAATTTAACTATGGAAACATTCAAGTTCAAAATCGGTGAAAATTTTTATTTGAACGTAAAAAACATATATCACGTTTATCTTCACTCAATCTCGTATTTTTATTTTATTTCTTTTTTTTTTAGCTCAGATACGCCATATATAGCTTTAAAGTTTGTAAATTCATAGCTACTTGTTTTATTTTTATTGATTTTCTAAGTCTTTTGTCTCAGAATTAGAGTATTGAACCAATTAAATGAATGTCATTTGACATACTTGCAACCATGAAAATATAATGCTCGTCCTCAAACCATATTACATAGTTTGATCTTGAATTGAAAAGGTATATCTATAAATAGAATCAGGTGATTTCCTTATAAATACTCGAGTCGGTCGTGTCGTCGGAGAGGCAGCTATGGCTCTTTGTCAGTTGATGTAACTTGGGTCCTCGGAGTAGGTCGATTTAAAAGTAGGTCACCGTTACCTACTTTTCAATTTATAAGATTATAATTAAATATTTCGGGTAATAATCGGCTTAGAATCATAAAACTTTGTCAGTTGATGCATCTTGGGTCCTCGGAGCACAACAACTGAAAAGTAGGTCACCGTGACCTACTTTTGAAAATTGATGGCTTTAGTTAAATATATAGGGTACTAATTGGCTTAGATTTATCAAACTTTGTCAGTCGATGCATCTTAGGTCCTCAGAGTATGACAACTAAAATGTAGGTCACCATGACCTACTTTTGATATTTTATGGCTGTATATAATATTTTCGGGTACTATTTGGCTTAGAATCATCAAAAATTTGTCAGTTGATGCATCTTGGAGTACGTCTACTGAAAAGTAGGTCACCGTGACCTACTTTTCAATTTATATGGCTATAATGAAATATTTCGGGTACTAATTAGCTTAGAATCATCAAACTTTGTCAGTTGATGCATCTTTGGTCCTCGGAGTAAGTTGACTGAAATGTAGGACACTTTGACCTACTTTTGAAAATTTATGGCTTTATTTAAATATATCAGGTACTAATTGGCTTAGAATCATCAAACTTTGTCAGTTGATGCATCTTGGGTCCTCTAAGTATGTCATCTGAGAAGTAGGTCACTATATGGCCTGCTTTTGAAATTTTATGGTAATGATTTTAAAAATATTTTAGGTATTAATTGGCTTAGAATCATCAAACTTAGTTGATGCATCTTGGGTCCTCAGAGAATGATAAGTGATAAGTAGGTCACCATGACCTACTCTCAGGTACTAATTGGCTTAGAATCATCTTGGGTTCTCAGAATGTTTCATCTTAAATGTAGGTCATGATGACCTACCTTTGGAGTTTCAAGGCTTTATCTAAATATACAGGATACTTAGTGGCTTCAAATAGAAGTGATAGGTTGTACAGTTTATCAGAAGAGCGATTCAAGGCCCTTGGGCCTCTTGTTCTTCCTTGCAAAAATTACAGCAGATCCAGGAATCATTTTCTTATTGCGGGGGTGGGTGGGGGGGGGGGGTTCAAATATTTTTCCGCCTACCGAGTTTAGGGAGCTGACATCAGATCCGTAGGAAAGAAGAAGTTCTATGGCTTCCACGTGACGATTCTGTGCAGCCAACATCAACGGTGTGCTACCATCCTATAATTAAAAACAGCATGATCGAAGTATAGATCTAAATTAATGGTGTGCTATACCATCCTTAATTCAATATACAATATGTGCGACCGGCTTGTTATGGTGTGCTGTCGTTCAATAACGAAATCAACATCCATGCTGTACCATGCACGCATAACAAATCTGCTTCGTTTCCTATAAAGCTATGATAGATGAGTTTTGTATTAATATCAAATAGGAATCGACTGTGTGCTTTATGAAATCAAAATTAATTCAAATTTATTTTTGTCCTTTAATAAAATAAAGTGAAACCATGGCATCCTCTACTGAAGGAAAATTCATATATAACCCATGCAGAATTGCTATTGTTCCATAGTTAAGACAATTTCGCTACCTTCTTATAAAAGACCATTCTATGGTTTGACATGCCATACCATTCAGCAAAAGTGCAACCGTTCTCTAAAATATCAATGTTTTTTACAGTCCAACAATAAACATGTAATGCCAAAGTATGAATTAAAGTATTTCCACCCTTACAGTTTTAATGGTTCGAAGTAGAAAAACTGCATTTATTTTCAATAAATATAGTTTGAATTAACTAATACTTTTAAAAAAATATATAGGTTGCCATATTATTTCAAGTTGTAGGATACTAACAAACAGAAGTACATCTCAGTATAAGAGATGTACATTCTTAGTAAACAATAAAAATTATATAAAAACTGGTTCAAATACATAATTCTGATGCTAAACGTTATAAATCATTGCTACTTTATAAATATTTTTGAGTTGTGAATATCAGGGAAACTATTTTACATTAGAAGTACATTAAAGAAAAAGCCTGAATGAAGATACACTGGGAGAAATTATTTCGGTTAGCAATATTTTATTGATGAAATAAAGAAAAATATACATTTTAAAAATTCTTTACTTAACAATATTTTTCATTACACCTATTGAAAAGCATTCTTCCAAAAGATATTTTTCTATTGAGAATTAATTCAAATTAATAAGTTTTTGCAAAAACCTATGACATCACAGGAGGATGAAAAAAAAACCCTTAACATCAAAGTTATTTGGTAGGCAGTTGCAGATTTTGAAGGAGGGGGCATCAGTACTCCACCCTCGAATAAGGAAAGTATAGAATAATCAGACTGTGCTGTTAACCTTACATTAACTACAATTATTGTGAGTTTCTGTATCTGTAGAGTCATTTAATTTTTAACCCCCCCCCCCCCCGCCCCAAACAGGTCAACTGCATGGAAATCCAGAATCGACGAATTGATGCCATTTCGTTACACGTTTGAATGCAGCAAGTGGAAGCCACCTTTCATAACCTTAGAAAAAAGAGTTGTTTTAATATACATGTATCTGGAATATTTCCTCAAAATTATTGTCCTAATTTTTCACGTTTCCACCAAAATAGACGACAGTAAAGCAGGCGTAGATCCAGAATTTTCAGTTATTGGAGATGGGCGATAGCTGTGTTTAAAAAAACAGAAAGCTCATGATACTTGTAGTTCATGTGAGGTTAACCACATTAACAGCATGTGTTTTATCTATACTTAGTTAATAAGAGTTTAATGCAATAAGTTTTGAAAATACTTGGGGGGGGGGGGGGGGGCTTTAAATCCGTGACTTAAAAAAAAGTTATGACAGGAGATCAGATACCACATTGAACGATATTTTTTTATGAACGTTTGATCCTTTTTTAATTGTTTCTTTTAATAACCACTATGCACGTATCGATTTGATATTTGTTTTTTTGTTTACAATTTCCGCCGTAAAATTGTACTACTTACCGCCATACACGAATCGTTTGGATTTCTCCCAGCCTCCAGAAATCGCCTCATTCCTTCTGTATGTCCAATGGCTGCAGTCAGACAGAAGGGATCCATTCCTACTTGGAACTAAAAAGAAATTGAACTAGAGCCGAGCTCGTTGCAATGCAACGAATAGGTCTTCCGTCGGAGCTCCGGACAAAACATAGCGACCTTGAGTCAAGGTCATACAACATTTTAAGGTTATAAACAATCCTGTAAGGGGCATCAACTTCCAATGTTTCAACCGTAGAAAGACAGTAAAAGAATGTAAAATTCCCCTGCAGTGAACTTGAACTTGTCCAAATAATCGTGCGTCAAGCCAGGACACATTCTGCAGCTGGTTAAGAGCAAACACCATCTGTATGTCATCGACAAAAAAAAAATTCACAGTCACGTATTCTTTCAGACTATTCATCCAAAACATCATATTCTAAGTGACATCGAATTTAAGTCAAGGCCATTACACACTTTGGATGATATATTTATCATCTTTTCAGTGAAATGCAAATGCATGCAATTTTTTCTATTACAAAATTAAAGACCTTTTTGTTTGTTTGTTTGTGTGTATGTTGTTTAACGTCCCTCTCGAGAATTTTTCAATCATGTGGAGACGCCACCATATTTGCCGATGGAGATCTGCAAATTTTGACCTATACTCGGCACTCATGGCCATTGAACAGTGAAGGATCTTTTTCGTGCCAGCACCAAATGCCAGACGGGACTTCAGTTTATACAGTCTCATCTGAAGGATCGGTCTCTGCGTCCCATAGTGGGATTCGAACCTGCGACATAAGGATCAACTCCTTAATCCACGACTTTAGAGCAGACACTCTTACCACTGCGCCACGTGGGCGACTAGACCTTTTTGAATTTTACATTTATTGTATCAGTGACCTTGAACTTGCCTAAATGACCTATTTTAAGGTCAAAAACAACCTTTGAACTAATTATGAGCTTCCAGTGATACTCAATGACCAAGATATTCCTGAAAAAGAATATTGTACTTTTCTGTCAGTGACCTTGAACTTACCAGAAAGACCTTGGATCAAGGTCAAAACACATCTTTGGATCATAAGCAATCTCTGTATCAAGTAATATCTTCCAGTGGTTTTATATTACAAAGTTATAGCATGGAAAAAAAAATTAATATTTATCTGCCAGTGACCTTGAACTTGCGGGAAAAACCTCTATTCAAGGTCAGGACAAACCCATCTCAAGCAATCTGAGAAAAAGTTTCCTGTGTTCCTCCCACCCCTTATAAATTTATAATCCAGGCACGAGTTTTGCCACTTCTTCTGCTAATCTAGTACTATGTTATCTCAAACCGGTGGATCATAAGCAATCTTTGTTCCTAGTATGAGCTTCCAAAATTATAGCACATACAGTAATCTTACACTTTTCTGTCAGTGACCTTGAACTTACAGGAATGACCTTGAATGAAGGTTGTGGCAAACCCTTTTTGTCATAAGCAATTCCTGTATCCAGTGAGCTTCCGGTGACTCTCTATTACAGATAAATGAGTCGGACAAAACTTTGCTATTTTTTTTTAAGTGACCTTGAACTTGCCGGAATGATGTTGGATCAAAACCATGACACACCCTCGGATCATTAGTAATCTTTGTACCAAGTATGACCTTCCAGTTTCTTCATAACAAAGTTATATCCTGGGCAAACTATCACGTACAGACGGACAGCTAGGCAGACGGACAGTGTGATTCCAAGACTCAAAACACCCCCACCCCAAACCAACACACTTCGTTTGGGGGGATATATAAATTCCTATGTTAAATTATGAACACTCTTTCCGGCCCAAACCTTCTCCCTTGAATCAAGATTTAAAAAATAAAATGAATGTATGCTATGTTGGAAATTTTCTCATTCTAGTCCAGGGGTTCTTGAGAATACTATTTTCAAATGACCCCATGCGCGGATCTAGAGGGGGTTGGGGGCAGTTAAATGTATATACTAAAGCAAGTAAAAGTAACCATCCCCCCCCCCCCTAGAAAACGCAGACCCTTCCTCGATAACGCGGATCTGTGTTAAAATGGTATGAAAAGTCTTAGGTATGAAGCTTTAAAAGTCAACGAACCCCCCCCCCCCCCACACACACACACACACAAACACACACACGAAATAGGTTTTTCACGTTTGTGAAAAGAATTTCTTTTTTTGGCTCGTCAAGAAATTTCTGGGTTGAAATATTTTTTATTGGGATCCCCTCCCCCCCCCCCCCCCCCGTGGAAAAAAAATTCCTTGATCCGCACCTGGACCCCATCTAATTTTTACTACATGTATCCGTTAAAAGAGGATGTGACCCTTCATTTGAACAAAACTTTACCAAAAATATTCTATGTTAATTTTCGTTGTTATGGCCCAGTGGTTCTTGATAAGATAAAAATGAGAACATTTTACAAGTAACTTTAGAACGACAACGACGATAACGCTTATATACGCCAAGAAAGCAAACAAAGCTGAAAAATTATGAACAGAAAAGCTTACTTTGGGCCTTTGGGCTTGGGAGATGAGATATTTATTTAAGAAATAAACAACAATGTTAAAAAGTTCTCTGGGAAAGGTTAGGTTGAACGTGATCAAATCCTGTGAAGCCCTAAGGGCTTCTCAGATTTGACCAGGTACCAACCAAGTTCATTTCCCAGAGAACTTTTTAACATTGTTGTTTATTACTTTTATTTACATTTGAGACGAATTTTCTGAAAAGAACTGCATTTATTACACGAACGGCCCGCCGTATTCATGCTATGTTGTGACGCGAAGTGACCTAGAAGCTGTTTGGTCTTGAGAGTTCGCCTCGCTCCAACATTTGAATACTTATATTGCTGTTCAGCAGTCCAGTTCAGGAAATATCTATTCATAATTAAAAAAAAAAAAAAAAAAAAAAACAATGATCGCTACTGAGAATGATCTTACTATTATTGTATGAGTTCTTTATATGAAGTCAAAAGCGGTGATATCGTCTTCAGTTTACATACCTTCAAAGGAATTTCGGGTTAAAAAGGTAAGCGTGATTTTAGGCTAATTAAAAACATTCTTCACACCGAAGAAAGAACTAATGATCATTTGTTGAACGAAAAAAAACATATATGTTTCAATAATTTTATCTTTTTCATCGCTTTAACGGCTTAGAAGTTCCGAAACCAGTGTCACCGGGACAGAAATATGTAGACAAGATATCATCTCGCTGTGTGATACGGTCACGCCATGACCTCTGACCCCCTAATAAGTTTGTACAGAATTGAACATATTTTCTCTTCAATAGGTTCACCGAAGAAAAATATTTGCAAATGTAAATAATAAAAATTGAAATTATTTTGTCATTTTTTTACGATCGACGGGCCTGCATTTCAAAGAGAGAGAGAGAATTTCTAGCTAGGTCTTTGAATAACAGTGACATCGGTTCAGAAAACCAGGTCCCTAGGAATGTACATGTATATAAAATAGGCAGTGCCTTTCTCTCGGAATTCATCACCTGCTTCTGTAAAGCTCCATCCTCGCTTGTACTTACATAACCGGCTGCGAAGGAAAACATTCTATTTATTTCGGGGATGGGGGTATACGTATAGCGATGAGAGGCAATTTATTCACCTATACGCTATACGTTCATTAAATATGAAGATTGCTTCTGAGTATTTGTATACGATCGCACGACTTTCGTGTTAATTTATAAAAGTTAGATTATATAAGCAAATAACTAAACTAACTTTTGTTCTAGATGAATTAAATAATTACTTAGCCGTTTGTAAGTTTTTTTTTTTACATTTATAAGAACCACTTTATTTTAAAAAACAAATAATCGTCCTATTATGGGCGCCCTTGATATATTAGACAGGATGTTTAAAATATAATTCAGATATCGACATCCAAGAGAACAACACATTCTTTTTTTCAGTGGCGGATTAAGGAATCTAGAAAAGGGGGCCGACCAGTTTTGGGTCGGGGTAGGGGCCCAAAGCCACATAAAAATTGATTTATTAAATCTTGTGTATATTTTGGATACAAAAAGGGGGCTTGCAGGCCCCCTGAACCTCCTCTAAATCTGCCAGTGTTTTTTTTTTTCATTAGTCAGCCCGCGGGTTGACTAGTTACGGTGGGATAAAACTGCAAGTACGCTTGCATAATTTGGAATTCTGGGAAAAAGATGTACACGACTTGTTCTAAAGAAACTCGTGCTATTTGCTCCAACCAACAGAGCTGACCAAAGGGCGTGATTCTTCACAAACACCTCTAAACAAAGACGCGACCTCGATCTATTTATAGACTGCATTGTTCTTCGTCGTTCTCGACGAAAAATTAAAGAAGAGATTGTTCTAAGTGGGAAATATGATACTATGAAAATATTTCAGTGCTTCTTATAGAAGATGAGAAGTTTATATGCAGAGCACATGATTTAACACTTGATTTATACCCTCAATCGCCGTTGCAAGTTCAAGGATTTGTGTGTATTCCTCTGAATGCCTGATGCAAGACTCCCTCGATCAATACCTGGCATAAGACAGGTACGGGTCGGAATTCACACAATAATCCACTTGCACAAAGGTCCCAAGACAGTGGAAAAAAAAAGAATCTCTTTACTTTAATGATGAAAGTTATGAAAACGTCAGAATATCACTTAAGATGTGTAAATTCTTATAATTTACACGATGATAGACATGTACATGTAAGTGCCGCTTGTGCACGTGAACCGCGCCCACAGGTGAGAAACTGACCACAGTAGAACTGCGATAGTTGAGAGAAACTGCGCGGATTTATAGACAGCCCCCCCCCCCCCCCAATTAGAGAGAGTGAGCGAGATGGAATCCAGTATCATTTTAGGGTATACGTACTGTGTGTATAAAATATTTTGAATCTCCAGTTTATTACTTTATTTTGGAAGCAATTCTTTTCTTTCCTAATAACACTAAAATGGATGCTTAAATTTAGAAATTGAATTAAATATACATACAGTATGCACCCTCCCCCTTCCCCTATCATGCATTGCCTCGAACCTGCACGATTAAAAAACTTTTATCTAATAATAATTAACACAATCTAACCCAAGGTCTACCTTCCTTTTCAGCATCATAATCTATATTATTTATAGAATTTAACAGTAAAAATGAAAATGTATACATTCTTACACGTTCAATGATTGGGATCATAGTGGCTTTGTTCATTTCTGAGACGAACTTTATCTGATGTCCGCGCCCACGAGAAATTAATTGGAGGTTATCATAATGATCACGATGTAGTTTAACTAAAATTTATTCTATGCTTTATTATTTATTATGTACAGAATTATGTTACAGATAAGAAAACGACTGGGCGAATTTTAACTTAGACGACAATGACTTTTAGTGAACACAACATGATGGATAAAACAAATCATATACCATCACAAACCAAGAAAGAAACTGTCTGTATTCCAGTGGCTGACTCTCAGCTTTTTTTAAAAAAAGCTAATCTTCTTATAAAGACTTGCAGAATAAGCGAAATACTCCAGATATTTAATAAAAATCTCGAACCCGATCTAAAACGCGTTGACAAAGTCAAACCAGACGGTTTTAGTTTTTAGGGCATTTTTACAGTGATATGAGAAAAGTCTGATAATTGCTGTTAATTTTAAGAAATAAAGTTCGTCATTTTTCAACCTCGTTCGGTATAATATAATTTACTGATAATTTTTTCCGTTAAGGAGGAACACATGGGCGAAGGATAAAAAAGAGGTATTCTGCATGTACATGTACACAATATTGTTATTGTGTACTCGGATTAAACCGAAAATCCTTCGTTACATTGTATTTGGGTATAATTTTCACATGTTCTCAGGCGAATATTCATTTATTTTTATCTGTCTAAAGATAATAATTTCAGTTGATAGAGAAATGTTTTTATTTCATCGTTTTTCCCCCATCCTTTTGATTTACACGTTTGCGTTGTACACAAAAGCGTGTGTTCATATACCGCTGTTTCTACGCGCTATCGATATGATCAGGGAGAACATGATATTCTCCAGCAATTTATTTTTATGAAAACACTCAATGAAAACATATTAGGTGAAAATATATATACCGATAGTATCTTAATATCTTATTAGTATATACCTGTTTAATTGCAATGTAACCAAGCGTAACGATCGCTGGCCAGGACTTTTTTGAATATAATTTATAACCGTTATTAAAACAACTCGTCAGCTGAGCGGACCTATGATTTAAACAGTAAAATAGGGAAATTCCAGAGTTCGAAGTGTATTTATTTTGGGCGCTCTTCCACATAAACAAATAAGACCGCATTTACGCGTACTTACATGCATGTACCAGTAATTCGTATCATGGGAAAATTCAGTTCATTAGATGAAATAAAACAAATGCATAAGGTTAATCTTCCTAAACAACACAGTTTTAAAACAATCTCTAATATAACTGACGGTATAAAATAACAAAGAAATAACGGGATTGTGTAAACTTGTATTTAATTTGGAATGAGAACAAATCTTAACCTGTCAAATCATTTATAAAACATACTTCGTTTTACAGACACTAATTGTCGTGCGTAATCTTCACATGCACTGACCAAGAGGTCACAAGTTTGAAATGTATGGCTTCTCATTGCGTGAGTTTTGTCAACACATGTCGGAGTAGACTATCTAAGACAATTGATTCCCAAAGAAAACTGCATAGGAAGGTTTTTTTGTACACTTTTTAACGGGTAAAATTCATTCGACGCTCGATAGAATTTTCAAATACAAGTGAAATATTTAGGTTACTTGCGTCCGACCTAGTATTTTGTATGCAATAATATTGTAAGTTAGGAAGAAAATAATACAAGCTCAAAAGTAGTTAATTTTATTTTCGATTTTCCTGACAATTAAAAATGTGACCTTTACGTACAATTATCGTAATAATTATATACATGCTGTTTAATGTTCATGAAAGAAATAGCAACTCGTTAAATAATAACATTAGAGAGATAAATAAGCTGTTTCTTTAATACGCAAACAAAGTGGTCTTTTCGGTATTTGAAATGCATTGAATTTGAAGTCAGTTAAGACTAGTTGATTAAAACGAGCGAGTGATAAACAGTAAGACGAAATAATATGAAAGATTCTGAATGATTTTAAAGTAATTTTTCACAAAGCGCAATTATCTCGATATCGAGAAATACAATGTTTATAAAAATAAAATTAATATGCAACTTTCTTGTAATTCAGCGAATAAAATATAAATTGAAATGTACTAGCGACTTAATCAAAGATATTATAAAATAATCTGAAAGATTCAACATATTCATCCACTCATCACTTAGTTTACAAAATGTATTTGGAAAGGCCATTCTATGGTTTGTTTTGTGTATGACCTTAGGTCGCTGGATCACACGCCGATTGATCCCCGGTGACCTCCTTTGCCACGCGCTATCGAGGGAGGGGTTACATAATTGTAAACACACAAGGTGAATGTAAAAGGCGTGTACTTAATGGCTGTGAATGGTCTATGTTTAAAGTTTCGTTTTATTTTCTAACTTTATTGTTTGTTTTTATATGATAAGAAGAAAAGGTTATCTTTTTTCCCTGTTAAGTAGACTGGTTTATCCAAATTTGAAAACAAACGAAATAAAAGGGAAAGTTGTCAGTAAATAATTTAGAAATAAAGCTCAGAACACTTCAAGAACCCGATTCTAAAGAATATTAGCATCTAATGTAGCTAGGTTTATTATTTATAGTAAGTTTATTTTAATTACACGCATGAAGAGCTCTTGTTTACTTGCTGAATGAAAACGCTTACCTGTATATGTGTTATGCTTCTAGCTCATTTAGAACACAAGATTCAAACAAAATAACGTTTTCTTGAGATCAGTAAGATGTTAACTAACAACTTTAATTACGGCAGCTTTTTCGAAATATTTCGATGTAAATGTATTGTTGCGTGAACAGACAAAAACAGCGATTAAAATTCAAAATGATTTTTATGCACCAGTGTTTGGAATTAAGATTATAAAAGATCGGTAAAGTAATCTTACTGATTCGATATAATTAAAAACATAACTTTCCATTAATTAATAGCTCTTTGTACAAAATTGACATTATACGCGATCACAAATACTAGCTTTGTTTATGGCCACAGGTGGCTAGTACACTGGTGACCTCGATCAAAGGCGTGGGATTCGCGCGTTGGGTTACATAACTAAACATCGAGCTGAACATGGAGACCGTAATATGCATACAGCTAATGATCGTGAATTATTCAATGCATACAGTTTAAAATCACTTACAAAGTTTGTTGTAATAATAAACGTAGAAAGATAGATTTAATATTCTCCGCTTTTGAACACTATTAATCTAATTTAAAAAAGAAGAAAAGAAAGACTAGTTGTAATAAATAATTTAATAGTGAACCATAAACCACGTTTTAAACCTTATTAAAAAGAAAATTAACATTAAATACCGCAGGGTATATTATTGATAGCAAGTCTGTTTAAGTTATACACACGAAGAGGTCTGATTTCCTTGCCGAATGAAAAACGTTACCTGTTTACCTGGCCAGCTTTCTAATACGTATTACGCAATACCCATGGTATACTCGAACAAAACAACATTTTCATTAGATCAAAAAGGTGTAAAAGAACAATTTTGTTCCCAAGATCCAGATCGAAATATTTACCGTTTTTGAGTTATAAAGCAAAAACTTTTAAGGGCCCAAGATCCCTAATCATAGGGGCCAGCCCCTTTTAAATAGTATAATATGAAAGCCCTTGCAATTATGCACAACTTTTGTTCTACATGTCTTAACAAAATATTTCTAGTTTTCAAGCTATAAAGGAAAATATGTCAAATTTTTTGCTGTTTTCCACATTCTAACTTTTGACCCCTCTCAAGCGCCATTTTTAATGCAAAAATCAAAAAACAAAAACCGATGTGCACAACTTCAATGCTTCCTCTTTTCAATTTCAAAGGGTTTTGTGCTCCAATTATAACCATTTCTGAGCCTTTGTCTGGAAATCGGAGGCATGCAAAATTCAATCAAAGGGGAATAACTCGTGAACAGAAGGTAATTTCCGAATTGTATTACGGTATTCTGACAGTGTTTTGTAAAGTCTAAAAGCTCTGAAAATTTGAACAAAATCTGTTTAAAAATGAGGAAGATATGAAGCGTCAAAGTTGGCGTCTAGGAAAAAAAAAAAAAAAGAATAATCTTAATCATCACAATCAGTAGAAGGTCTTCCGTTGGAAACGGAAGACCTTAATTAAATCGCTTATATCCTTCCATGGGACGGGGGAAAAAACTGCGAGATATCAGAGGATTCGAGATATCAAGGATAAAATACTAAAAGAATATGTGGATGGGAGTACTAAATCACTTTGACATATCCATGGTATTCGAGATATCGGTGTTCGAGATACCGAAGTTCAACTGTATCTCTCTCTCCCTCCTCTCTCTCTCTTACCCTCCCTCTCTCTCTCTCTCTAGAGAGAGAGAGAGAGAAATAGAGAGATTGTAGATACGGAACAGGTGTTTTGTTACCGGGTTTTTTTCATTATTGATTCATTTATAATATAAGCTTTGTTAGCATTTTTTTAATTTGGTCGATAATGTTTTTCAGTTTTTTTTAGTACTTAAAGGAGCAATAGCTGTCTTTTGCCTCAGATTTTCTTCCTTTATGTATATTTCTTAAATAAAAACATTATTTGTTCATTTCAAACACTTTTACCCTAAAAAATGCATATATTTCTAACACTTTTAATTTTGTTGTTTAAAAAATTGTTGGATGTTTCCTGTGTATATTTCTTTATACAAAAAGATGTATTTTAGCGTAGTTTACCAAGTTTTCTTGTTTTTAAATGAACTAGAGTTTTGAGGGATTTTGATGAATAAATTAAATGATTTTCATCTCATTCACAAAAAATGTCACCTTAATATAGTAAATTAAAGTTTCAAATAAATGAAAATGATTATTTAAAGTATATGTTTTCGTACCAGATCGTTCCTGGAAGCCAGCTTGAGAATTTCTTCAGGGTTGTTTTCTCTTTCCTTGAGAAGTTTTTCTAACATTCCTATCGTCTGTTCTGCAATGTTCGGAATCGTCTGCTGTTTTTCCGTCATCGTCTCTCCTTGTTCATGGAAGCAGACGTCACCTTCACAAAGCAGACACTTCTTTTTGGAAGTTTTCTTTGATTTTAATTTCATTCTTCAGCTCTATAGATGATAACCGTGTGTCCTCTATAGAATATTAGAGTTGTTTACCATGACGTCATGACATTCTTTGACATTATTTTGGCAGAGTTTGGGATTTTCCGCCAAATGACGTAACGTTAATTTATGTAAAATAAAAAAAAAAATAGATTGCGGCTTTCAGTATTTTAGACATTTTATAGTTTTGGTAAATTGATGGTGGGGTAGTTCATCTCGTTTCGAGTTTGGAAATACGTTATTGCCGTGTGACATGAATTTTGATTTTGTTTTACTTTAAAAACATGTGGCATAAACAAAATGAACAGCGAAATGATGGCAGTTTCATTAAAAACAACTTCGAACACCTTCTCAACCATTGTGACATAAAATATCTTTAATGAGAGGAAAAATATAAATTAACTCAATCCGCATATCTGCTTATCGATTTGAAATGTTGAAAAAGAAAGACCCACCCCCTCCGAACTGAGGATGATAATACTATTAGGGGGTTATTTCAAGACTTAATTTTTTTTTTGCCTGTTTGTCCAAAATATGACAAGAAAAGATTACTATATATCAAAATCTCTTAACTATAATCGCAAATCAATTAATTCAAACTTTTCTTCTTTTAAAATAAACACACGGTGGGAAACTGACGAGGATTCTAAAATATAAGTTTATGATTTTTGAAAACAGTAAAAGAACAAATGTATAAATGTATGTATTAACATATTATTGTACTGTACAGTTTTATTATTATTGATATAAATATAATGGGCACAGCGTAATATGATTGTTTTACTTTACATCGCTAGCATGGGAATGTTTAATGTTGAGTTACTTCGCTTTGCTCTGTACGCTCTGTATGAAAAAGCGCAAACCAATTTTATTTTGTTTCCCTCATCTATGTTAACATTATTTTATCAGTTGTGTGTTCGTGTGTCTCAAAGAAAATCCTCAGTTATAAACTATGCATAGAGATATGATCCACCAAAACTGTGAACTCTTGACCAATGGGTCAAAGACTTCATGTCCAAGGATGAGACTACACTAACAACTATGATAGACATGGTAAATGGGCCTTTTTCTACATTGGTGAAATCAACACATTTTTAAAGTACGCCTCTGATTATTATGAAGATATATTAACCTCCATATATTTCAGCACATTTGAAATAACAAAGTTAGCCATTTTTTTCACATGATAAACAGCAATTGTAATTTCTTCCACATTGCAACAGTGTGGGTCCACAGCTAAACAAACATAGAATACCAATAGGGAATGTTTAGCAGCGTATATTGACCACCTTTATTCCATCTGTCTTTTCTTCAGAATTCTGGAATCTATCTCAGCCAATCCCCTAATTCCTCACTGATTAGAGGAGGTACTTACAGACCTATCATGTCAGTAGTACTAGTGTGTGCTAATTAAAAGGGGCGATTATACTAACTGAAGGGCATTTGATTTTAAAGTAGGGCTGGCAAAATTTTCCAGGACAGATTATTTATTTTCATGCCAGTGAAGGACAGATTATTTGTTTTCTTCCTATAAGAAAAAGGGTCCCCCCCCCCCAAAGGCGAGGGGCTCTATTTTCTGTGTGTGATTGGGGGGGGGGGGTAGGTTATAGCCCCAGTCAAGATCAGATTATTTATTTTCTTGACAGTTGGGGTCAGATTATTCATTTTCATCATTTTCAAGGTCAGGTATTTATTTCCAAAATCTGCCCCCCCCCCTCTCAAAATTAAATGGTCGTCCCCAAAGTACAAGATATATATGTCCATGGTACTACTGTATGTTTTTTGTTTGTTTGTTTTTTTTATCATGTCCAGACATATTGGCTCAAATCTTGAATAGGTATCATATTCTAAAGAATATACCTGCTGGGTGTATGACGGGTGGACATTTATCTATACCTATACCCACACATACTGTTCTCCATGGCAATGAAAAGTGGTGAGGGAAGATGTGTTATAATGGAATTTGTCATACACATACTGTGTGTGCTTACCATGTTGGAATAGCTGTGAAAGCGTGAAACTGTGAAAGAAATTTGAAGTTCACAGACAAGAAAGTAAATATTTTTTCAAGTTAAAATCTGTTTACATTTTCAGCAAACTGAAAAGACCTTTCTGCACTTTCCTGTTAATACAAATATAAATACATGAGACATATTACACATAACAAATAAAGAAAACCTGTTTTTTTTTTGCTTTGAGTATTTATTTTAGAGAATGACAACAAATGTCAGCTCCGGACAGAAACATATAACAATCAAGTATTGCACAGTGTACAAAATTACACACCATCTAACCTCCAGCTTACCCTAATTAGTAAAAGCTATCTCCCTTTACACTGTAAAACAGAGGCTTACAAAAATACTGAATATTTCAGAAGTACATTACTAAATAGAAAAGGAAACAGTCAAATTCTCTGTACCATACACTTACATGACTTGCTATATTTTCTACCCTCTTACCCCACATCTGAGTCAATTTAAAATTATATAATTTTGAATTAAAATGTGTTACTGTCAATTCAGAGTCAAATATCAGCATGGCATTCACCTTAGTGTCCGAGTCGAAGAAATAAGTGGCTACATTACAATTTATTAAGGTAGCCTACATGTATATAAACTGTAAGACAAATCTGGTACATGTGTCAATGGTTGCTGTCAGCCCTCTCCTCTCTAGTACACTGATAATGAGTCTGATTATGTAGGAGATATAACTCCTAATGGACATGATACACTGAAGGAGACTAATGAAAATTAAATAGCAATGTGAAATACAGGAAGTCATTAAAGCAATATCATGATCTTTATAAATGAAAAAAACAAAATATTTTTGATGAAACTATTTTATGAAGTTCAGCACTTTTCCCACAAAGAATGTAGCACCAGATTACTCTAGTACTCAATGAACATACACCCAGACAAAAAAAAACTTTTACGCACACTTAACATTGACATAATTATGAAAATACCATGGATATCAAGTTAAAGCTCACTGTAGAAATTAGTAGCTAACTAATAAATGTCATTAATTATCACAGAAACGAGTTCCAGTACAAAACTCTGTCTACATCTAATATCATACAGACACATGTCGCATTCAGTCCTTCACTGGAAATCTTCCTTCTATACCATGGGAGGTGAACCCAACACAAAAGATCTCCCCGAATCTGTACACACGTAACCTTACACTGAACCCCCCTACATGTAACAGACTTTCCTACAACACAACATCAAGTTAGTACACAACAATGTAGTTAAAGCTAGTTGACAAGCATTTTGGGTCAATGTCTGACCTTTGACCTAATTGTGGGTCACAGTCTGACCTCTGGATATGTCACACTTCTACATCATTTCCATTCCCTAACAAGTAACATTATCAACCTAAACACAGAGCACAGAGTCACAATCAGTAATGACTAGAAAGATTTACTAACTTACAATATATAAGTTTAAAAGACAAGTCCTTTTCAAGGCATACAATGAGAGTTTTCAGAGCAATAAATCTCAGTTGGAGAGGGTAAATATAGTGAGCCCTCTCTCCTGATTTTTTACATGTGTAACCATGGAATGTCAGCCTTACAGTAAGTCTATGTCAGGTATATAGGGTGCACACTGCACATATAAATTCTTATTCAAATTGGTCCAACCAAAATGATACAGAATATTTCCTCACTGATGTCTTTCAATGTGTGAAGAGTTGCCATTATTATCACATGATTATTTTAGGATCCATTCATAAAGCTGACCCCTATGACAGATGTCAGATTATGTTCATTTATTTTTATCCTATCACATCCACATTTTTCTCTGGGGGCGTACTTGAGCGTGAGGCTGCCTTGGGGGGTGAGGAGACTGGACGCCGGGGACTGAGTGAGGGCTGGGGACTGGAAGCCTCAGTTGATTGACTGGGGCTGTGTTTCTGCTGTGGAGGACTGTGTGTAGCAGACGGGGCGCGGTCAGGTCGGGTCTCTGGGATGCTTGATGCTGCGCTTGACTTCCCACACACATGATGGTGGTTTTCCCAGTCCTTGTGTTGGCAGAAGGAGCCACAGTATCGAGCCACATTACAGCCACTGCAGGTCTCGCTTGCCTTCCTACCACAGTTCCAGCAGCTCTATAAACCAAATGCAAAATTTGTGTCATTTACTACACACTGCTAATGTGTCAAGTTATTTCCATTTGGTTGAGGGTTGCCATAATAAAGCAGTACCAAACATCTTTTGATTTTCAAAGTAAGAACTAACCAATAAATTTTCAATGGACTTTCTGAATGAAAAATTTTAAAAACAAAAGACAGTATATCGGTGTTTTATTAAGAATAGAGAGATCTCAGATACCGACCTCACTTGATTCTTCCTGGTGGTTAAACTGAGCCATCACCTCCTCTCTAACTTTTTTGCGGGTCTCCGACAGCGAGCGTTCCATCTTGACCCGTTCTGCAGACACCATTTCTGTCGCCTTGTGTTCTGCGGCTGTCACAGCCTTCTGTAATTCTAACATGGCCTGTCTCTTCACCTCCTGGACAGCCTCTTCTAACAAAATATTAGTGTTCTTAGTTAAAAGTTTTATGGATAGTGCTTTTCTAATAAGATAATGTTAGAAGCCAAAAATTCATCTCCCAAAACAGAAACATTAGAAAATCCATGTATCTTATCCTTAACGAGAGACAACAATAGAAAACCTCCATGTACCTGCTCGTCTTCGTACGTCTGTGACTCGGTCTTCCGTCTGCCTCAGGGTATGAGCCATCAGGTCATTGGATCGCTTCTTCATGTCCACATCCAATCCTTCAGCATGTCGCCTCATCCACAGTGAGAGTTCCTCTCGATCTCGTAAACTTCGCTCCTGTAGCACTGCTAAGGCTCGTTTTGTTTTGTCCACCATACCAATAATACAATTCAACATCTGTCACAAGAAAAGAATTTCAGATTATATTCACAGTTAACCACAAAGATCTTAAATAGGTTACTGATAATATCTACCAAAGACATGTAAACTTAGTTTTAAATGCTTTTTCAAATCCATAAATAATCATCTGAAAGCACAAAACTGTCAAAAAGTTTTCTTTAGCTTGAGTTTTTAGTGATTTGGTCATAGATTAGTGCATGTATGTAATTGTTGCTAATTCAGTCAAATGGTTCTATGAAAGGCCAAGAATTGAAATTTTTGGCAATTTAAACTAAACAGCAAAAATTGGACAACTATTACTGACTTTTGATGAGGTCTACTTGTGACAATACCGACCCGGTCAGGTATTGGTTGACCGAGGCCGAAAGCCGAAGTTAACCAATACTTGACAAGGTCAGTATAGTCACAAGTAGACAGAATTCAAAAGTCAATAACCATTTTATCAAATAATCAGGAATTTTACAACATTTTTCACACTTTAATACTTTGGTATTGGCATCTGTCGGAAGTCTAGACCAACCAGAGAGCATCAACATTCCTGATCATTTAATAATAGAAAATAACTGTTATGTAGTATCCTAAATCTGACTTTTGTGAGAGGTTTCTGAGCATTATTCCAGAAACATAACTACAGAGTACACTTACAGTTTCAACATGTCTCCAGTCATCATCCATCCTTTCCAGAGGGTCAAATGAATCCGATCTGGAGTAGTCTATAATAGGAATAAAATAGCATAATTATCTCATTTAAAGATGGCTTGGTTGATATGGTTTAGTATGATATGGAATGCATAATATTGTCTCTTTGTTTATAAAACTGAGTGTAATACATCTATAAATTGATGTAATGTTTAAATTTTTTTTGTTTATATTTTACACAAACTGTTAAGGCAATATGCTTTTCTTGGAAGTCCATACATCTATGGATTACTCAAATTAAAGGACTAAATTTGTTATTTTATTTTTCGGGACAAAGAAACTTAAACCTTGTAATATTACATTAAAATTGAATATTAAGCAAAAAATATTATAGACATTATATCTATACCAATCATTTCACTTTTACTGTCTTGAGAATTATGAGTTACATGTAGGTACAGTTGTACTGACTATTACTGAAGGGAGGGTATAAATATCTGGGTTATACGTAGGTACTGACTATTATTGAAGGGAGGGTAGTGTCGGTCCCCGCTCCGATCGGTTCTCTCCCTGTCTGCGCGGTCACGCTCTACCCGTTCTCTTTCCCTAAGCTCCCGTGACAGACTAATATCCTCCAATTTGATTGGTCCACTATTGAGGTTAAGTACACCATTAGGGCTAACCCTGGGACTTATTGTCTGATGTCGCTTAGTGGGATTCATTGAGTCCAGACTCATATCAAAATTGTTCTCTTTCCGGCTGAAATCAAAATACTAAATATCAATTATGGTAATTAGAGACTCACTTTAGTCAATAATTAGTTAATTTTTCCTGTAATATATACTCCACAAAGTGATTATGATATACAAGTAGATGCTATATAATTCATTTAGCAGGTACTCAATTTCATCTTAGTTAACAAATATAGACACTTATCGCCATCATTAACACAAAATAAATTGTTTCAAAATACAAGCTATAATCATATCTGAAGATTGATCCTCTTAAATAATGTATAATACTAGAAACAAATGCATGACACTGCTTGGCGTTACATATCTTTGCCAAGTGATTACACACTCTTGGCTTCAAGAATGCTGCTATAATTCATGAATTTAATTAGGAACCATCTGCAGGGTTTTGTCTCAGATATTTCATATTATTTACCTGTCTGTCTATAACTATATCATGCAAAGAGATCCAGTATTTAAATTTGAACGTATCACAGAGAATAACATCCTTACCTGTCGGGGGAGCGACGTTTGCCATTTTCGTTGACATCAACGGAGATGTCCTGCGGCTCTGATGGGGAGGTGTTAGAGGCATCAAAGAGAATGTGTTCATTCTGCGCTAAGAATTGTTGGGGGGTCTGTTTGGCCATCCGTGCACAGTGTAGCAGCTCTCTCTGTAGCAAAGGCAAGTTTGCCTGCAAGCAAACAAGATTTCTTTTCTTAAAATCTTTTTCTCCCCAGTAAATGATCTAGATGACGGTATTACTTGCCTAGAGGAGAAAACTAGTAATCTGATCTTTTACCGTCAACTTGTTCATAAATTAGGTAAAAGTTTAAAGAGGAAGTAAATTCAGTCCACATTAGAATTACTATTAGTTATCCACAGCCAATCAAGGGTGTACAGGGATTTACCCCGGGTTGTATCCCATACACCCTGAGGCCGAAGGATTTACCCCGGGTTGTATTCCATACACTCTGAGGCCTCAGGGTGTATGGAATACAACCTGGGGTAAATCCCCGTACACCCTTGATTGGACCTGGATAACAAATTTATTTCCTATGTACTCAAATATATTCTTTTTAAAACAAGTCCAATCAACTGTGTTTCAAGCTATTGTTAAGATTTACTATGTCCTAAAATGCATCGTGACGTCATGTTATTTGCTTTTTGTCATAGAGAAACTTTGCATTGTGACGTCACGTTTTTTACCCCCAGCTCAAGTCGGGTGTACGGAAATTTACACCCAACTTCGTAACCAATCAAAGCTCGTGTTACAAGCTACATAGAAAATAATTTTAGTTATTCAGATCCAATCAAGGGTTTACAGGGATTTTACCCGGGTTTTATTACATACACCCTGAGGCCGAAGGGTGTATGGAATACAACCTGGGGTAAATCCCGGGCCCACACACCCTTGATTGGACCTGGATGATGAACTGATTTCTTATGTACCCAAATAAATTCTTTGTAAACAAGTCCAATTAACTTGGTTTCAAGCTATCGATAAGATTTTTTACAACCTACAATACAACATGATGTCATGTTATTTGCATTTTATCAGAGAGAAACTATGTATTGTGACAACACATTTTTTACCCCAGGTAACCAATCAAATATTGTGTTATAAGCTGTATAGGAAATATAGGAGTATATGACTGCATGTGTTATCTTTCAATATTCTTACTTTCAGAAATGGTATAACAAAAGGTCTCAAGGGAAAATTGGTTGCCTCCTGCAGTTTGGCATGGAATTCTTCTATTGACAAATGGGAATTCTGAAAAAGAAAAAAAACCTGTCAACAGAAGAAACATGACTTCCCTCATTAGTTTCTCTTTCGGTGACAAATTACGAGATAATCACATGTGGGCCTCTTGAGTACACCACTTGGATGGACTGAAGTGCGCACCGTTTCTCTTTTTTGAATCATCTATCTTCATCATGTGTAAAGCATTGTTGTCACTTTAAGAGGTTTATTCACAAGCTCAGAAGCAAATTACATAACAACAAAATTCTGCATCACCGCGTATGAAGAATTTTGGACTGCACTTACCACAAGTCCGAGGACAAGTGTCCGGACTCGCTCCCCAATATCTGGCGAGATGTCAGAGCCAAACTGTTGTAGGGTTGTCAAGAATCTCTTTAGTTTAGAAAGCTGCCTTGCCCCACAGGCTGGGGGTAGCTGCTGATTCATGGAGGAATTGACCAGAGCTGAGGGGGAAGGGGTTCGTCCATTCATCAATGATAAAGGGGAGTGACTGCCATTTACTAAAATTAAAGCAAAAATAAAATAGATTATTATTCTATTTCAATAAATAAAGCGTGTAATGCCACAATATGGAATTAAACATCTAAAAGCTCTTCCTCAACTACAAAGAAATTTTTATGTGAACAATCAAAGTGCATGCACACAACGCAGTATTAAATGAGAAGTCCTTCCTACCAGACTTCTATAATAGATACTGTGTAATACTCCAGATGCACATTTCCTCCACTCGTAAAAATCACTTCACCAAAAACCATCAATCAGAAGATGACAGAGGAGAAAAAAAATCAATGTGAACTTAAAAAAAACTACAGCTCTGTCAGAATCCACAGACGATAGTAAAAATATTACCAAGTCAGAGAATAATGACTGCTCCCTGCTGATACCTAAACAGCTGCTGTTACAGCCCTACAGACATAAACAGAACATTTGATGTGTGTTTATCCCCCAATTAATGCCTCCCTCTATCATCACTACAGACTGTTGGGTTCTCTCTGTGACCTAGTTAGGGTGTTCACCTGCTTACGATTAAAAGCCACTGTTCATTTTCTGATCATTTGGGGAATTCCCTAAACACCTGTTTCAGGGCCATTTTTTCTTATTTATTTTATGGACTGAACAACCTTTACATTGAAGAGGTCTTTGATAATTATGACATCACACTCACTGCTCCCCCTAGTCAATGTATTCCTTGACACATGTTTTATTGCATGATTAAATTCTCACTGGAAACAGACAGCTGGATACACATCAAATACTAATAATGAAAATAGCTGATCAATAGTGCAATTAAGGTCATAACTACTTGCTATAGATCTTTAACTTGTTTACTCAAGAGAAAAAGTGAAACAAGCAATCATATGAAAGACAGAAAAACTTTGAATAAGTTATGTTTAATAATCTATATGTTGCCAATTTTCATTGTGATATACAGTAAACTTGTTAGTAATACAGATAAAGCAAATTTATGGATATACATACAGCGAAGTTTTTTGAGATCGCTGGCAAAATTAATATCAATTGCTTATGAAATTTTTAGGTTATAACAAACACTGATATAATAAATTAATGGATATAGCAATTAAACTGACTTTGTTTCCGATAGATGTTAAAAATATCATATTTTACATTTTTTATCACAAAATTATAAAGATCTCAAATTTTAATATAATTTTTCATAAGTATTTTTATACAAAATAATTCATCAGAAAACTTTTGTACTTTTAAAGATAAATTTTATACTTAATACCAGAACATATCCATAGTTATACTTGAAGAAAAACATATATATTGCACATATGCCATATATACTATAAAGATTTGTTATAAGAATTACATATACAGCAAAATAAATTCACATTAGTCCCCAGAATTTCGCTAAAACCAAGTTTTACTGTATCTAAATTATCCCTTTTGCCACAAAAATTTTTCTGTGGAATCTAAGCAAGGGGCTTTTGTGGATTTTTTATTGAATATAATTATCACAGATCTAGAAAACTGTAGATTATTGTAAGTCTGCAATGATTAGAAATACTCGAGACTCGAGTTATGACTCAAATTTAAGACTTGCAGCTTGAAAAATCCTTGAGACTGTTGAGTTTTACCTGTGTTGAATTTTTTGTCCCCGACCAAAATTTGACTTAAATCTTGCACAATCTACTTGATATTATTCCTGAGTCATTTATACCTAAGACTTACAGGTGTGTAGAGAATCTTTACCTGAAACTAATACATATTTAGTTATCATTTACTTGAGAGCTGTTTATTTACCCAAGAACTGATGTTTCAGGATTACTGAATGACTTCTGTTTTTACTTGATATGTCTGTTTGGTTACTGGTGTACTTGTGCAATGAATTATAGAGTTGTGAATTAATTTGGGATTTATACCTGTATTGTCAATCATGCAATACATATGAATAGTGAATAAATCATTCCCCATGCATTATGTATCAAAATGATAAACCTGAATCATTAACAATTTACCTGAGAGACTGCTGCTTCCAGAGTGGGGTCTAGAGAGATCCCTGGTAGAGGGGACAGGTATGGACCCACTGGTCATACTTGGTGGGGAGTTGTATGAGAGGGAGGATTTTATATCAGGGGATTCTGGCATACTGCACTTTCTATCACTGTAATCTGAAATAAAACAAACCATGGCTTACAAATAAAATCAAATCTATTCTATAATTACTGGAACTATGGAAATAATTTCCCCTGCTTCTGATATATTTAACTCAGTATAATAGAGATTAGACAGAGAAAATATCTCTGCATCAAAGACAGCCATAGACAGCAGACTGGGTGATGGATGAGGGGTGCAATGACAGGTTAAAAACTCTGAATGCCCCTCAAACATCTGTTTCTATCAGTCTCCATCCACCTTAATTTGATTATCAGAGCCCTGTCAGCTGGCCATCGGATTAGATAATCTATAGGTCTAACACTAATACACATTTTTTTAACTGGCTCCAGTGAATCATCAACTCAAGGGGAGGAAACCCATACTTACAAAACAAACTTCCCTTTTCCTGCAAAATAAGTGGTTTTCCTGTCTGTAACAAGCTAGAGTTACGATGACACACAAAATCCCTCCTCTAATTAAACATTTCAATGTGGTTCTCCTCAGTGACAAACATTACTTCAATTCTATTTTTAGCTCCAAGGGAAGGAGTAGGTTTCTTCCCAAAATAGATTACTGATAAATAACAATTAATACTCCCATCAAACATAGACACACATTTCATTATTATTATCATCAAATAAAATGATGAAATTCAACAATTTAATAAATATCTCAACTTGCTGAGAAATTATGTGATATTTCTTTCCATACCGTTTTCATTTTCTTTTAAGATAAGGGAACGTGAGCTCACTTTTCAAATCGACCATGCCCCATTCCAATATTTACCATTTTCATCATTAAATGTATGCAATGTTACAACCATGCTTCAAGACTGCCTCAAGAATTCCAGCACACTGCCCATAGATATAATCATAAATCCATCTACAATCCACACCATTAAAGACAGTAACACACAAAATACTGTCTTTTCTCCTGCATCAACCTCTTAACACTGTATAAAATGAATGCAGATGATTTAATTTTAATCTTAAGATGCCAGATGACAAGGCCACCACCATGTGCCACTGTTACGCCTGAACAAACCCTCAACCTGGCACCCGTATCCTCAAACGGCCCAATTTATGTCCCCGCATCACAGCAGTTTACAGACAGGGAGTCCCCGCCTCTAAAAGTCCCCCAGAGACAATGAGCATTGTTACAGAGTTACAACATGTAGAGGCCTGCTTACTCACCCATGACCATTTCGACAGGTGACATCTTCACATAGCCCATTCATAAAGACTGCATCTTTATTAAAGAATTAAATGCCTCCAATTTTAAGGGCCATTTTACCCAGTTTTGAATCTGTGCATTATATACATTGCATAAAGTATTAAAATGTGTTCCATGTATTATTGATGACTTTGTGCCTTGTTATGGGGTTGTTATTTCAGAATCAATAAGTTTTAATGTTTCTCCTAATCACCAGCTGTTCAGCCCCTCTCTGTGGAGACTGTATCACATCTGTGCTGATCAAATCTTGAAACAGCTGTTCACCTTTTGTTGCTCACCTTGGTAGGAGAATTCTGGGATCATGAGAGAGCTTTAATGCAGTGTAGCATTTACCTGTCACTTCATTCAGAAAGGTGTAGCAAGGAGAATATGAAATTCAGGAATTACTATTTTTGGGAAATAACAAGTGTTTAGATTTCTTTACAAAAGATTCAAATTTTAAAAAATACAACATTGCAATAATTGTCTGCATTGACCTCAAACACTGGAAAAATGAAAAATTGCCAAAAAAAAAAAAAAAAAAAAAAAAAAAATCGGGAATTCAAAAAAAAAAAAAAAAAAAAAAAAAAAAGTGAAAATTTATAAGAAATAATATCATGTTCTTATTGCAAATAAATAAAGCAATTAATATTTCTATGTACTTATATATATGCATATTAAGTAATAAAATTTGGGAAAATTTTAAGCCATTCTGTGGAAAATATAAAACGATGAAGTGTTTTTTCTGTTTACACACTAATTGCATATGTAACAATATTGACAGTATCAAATACATAGGATTTTTTCAGCCATAGGAAAAATAGGAACATTTCTCCCTTTTCAATTTTTATTTGTTTATTAATTTTTTTTTAATTTCCAAAAGCTCATGCAAGTTCTTCACTGACAGCAGTATAATAAATCTATAGCTCACCTTTAGATTAGTTTAATCTCATGACACCTTCTGCGCTAATAATAAAAAAATCCAAATGTCTCACTTAAACACTGCAAATAGAAAATGTTCTCCACCCCAGTTTTTTCCTTGTCTTACTATCGCTTCAAGCACCACTAGCATGTGATCCAATTGTCACAAGTAGTTAAATGGCTACTTGAAACTTGAGCAAGTATTTACTTATGAAAACGATGAGGATTTTACTGCGTGTTTCCTTCGGTCTTGATGAAAAAGATATATATTCTGTGTCAATTGGTTGTTCGCAATCAGATGATAAACCAATCTATTAAATCAAGCTTATCACTTTCTTTCATCAAGAAAAATATTTTAATCACAAATTAATGTCATAAGAGTTTGTTGTAATTGATGTCCAATAAGAAGTATTTGTTTCTGAAGTGGCACTTTGATTTCCTGGTATATTGTTTGTCTTTATATTCCGTGAGCTGCCTGTGAGCGGTGTTGTAAGTTCACTGAACAGCTGATGGGGAGCTTGGATATATACCACCAATGTGGATTTCATTGATTGTTGGAGGAAAGCAGTCACATATGGCAGGACTGCCAACAGAAACTTTTATCATAATCACAAACCCTCTTGGGGTGTTTTAAGGAAAATCAATCGTGTGTGTGACTATCAGCAAGCCTCTCTTTAAATGTTCCTCATTTTTCAAGAACTATAAGGAACTCCACCAGTGTAAACTCAGAGCAGCAATAAATAGTGTAAGAGACTCAGTGTCAGTAAATAGGTTTAATTTTATATATATATATTCTCTTTTAATTTAAATAAGTGAAAGCAAAAATACTATCATTTCCAAGTTGATTAATACTAAATTTTTGAAATTCTGATGCATCAGCAGTTATCCTTTTTAAATAAATTAAACCCAAAAATTGTTTTTCTGCTTATAAATAGCATATACATGTATTGGTTAGTTGTTTTTTTTCCCAAAAATCATTTCAGAAAAATATTATCAGAATAATAAAACAAGATTTGACATTAATTTTGCCAGGGAAAGACAAACTCTGTATATAAATATATAATATACTGACAGTAAAATATAAAAAAATCATTACAGCTGTGAAATGTATGAAATTTGACCAACCACCACTTATCTCCCTTTCACACAGCTGCCATTTTCCATGGGAACATCTGGCTGAGACGGCCACAGAGACACAATTACGATTAGCTCTACCCTAAAAGCCTGGTTCCAAACCATTCAATATTTTGAGTAATCCAAGAAAATTCCTAAGAAAATTAAATAACGGGATGTGCATCTGTGTTCTTTGTGTTGGGAATATAGCCATTGTCTCTACTAGATCTTCTTTCTATTGTGTCTTCAAGTTTCAGAACAATAAATCTTTGTGCTTCTTTGTATCAATTAATGTTCATCTTACTAATTAATCTAAATTCTTTTGTCTTTTCAAATAAAGCATATTAATACAATTACTTCTACACCTGGGAGATTAAACATTAAAATATGACAGATAAATCTGATGCTAATCAAGTGAAAATATATAAATCAAAGTAAAAAATTACTTTACTGAGAAAAGGTATATATTGCAATTCCCTTACATTTGCAAAGTGGATTGCATATAATTTTTATTAGTTCCAGAGAAAATAAAAATATAGCCTGAGAAAATACGCAAAATCTACTGCGAACCTCCTTAATGTTGGACACATGCTATAGCTAATTGTTTACAAGATGGACTCTTTTCTTTTTGTATCACATGCGTTATGTATTAGACAATAATATTCTACACACAGTGGTATTTAGGAAAAGAAAGTTTAACAAACGGGGGACATTTGGTTTTCATTTCCCTCTATTAAGACTTGAAAAGAAAGGCTGGCTTCCAATGTACACCAGTCATTTGTTCATTAGCAGGTTTTTAGCTCTAACATCTTGCTTCTTTCTCTTGAACAAGGTTATTGAATTGACAGGCTAATTAGAATTCTTCTAAGTAATATTCTTGAACAGTTTAAAATACCTATCTATATTTGTATGTTTAAGATGCAAAAAAATTACAAAAAGAAAGAATTCTGTCTCTGTATCTCTCTTTAAGACTGTTAGAACTCCTGCTATTCTCTGATCATACAGATTTTCTCCTTTAAATGAGCTGCTACCTCTTTAAATGCCCTCCTACAATGTTCTATAGTTTTAGGATGAAATCGTAATTATTCACAGCTCTTAAATGACACATCCAGCAAGATTTATACATGATGACTGGATTGTCATGGGAGTTTACATCTACTCAAAATAAATAATTGATACAATGTCATCTTATAAGAATTTACTTCACCAGATCTCACCTTTGATGTACCTGAAAATCAATCGTTATCAAATACTGTTTTACCTATGGCTTCATTTTATGGAGTTTCTGTAATGGACCAAACACCTGACTGATAAACGAACATCAAGAAATATCCCTTTGTTACTATCAGCCTTTATAGAGCAGATGTTCAATCATATATCAGATAATTCATACACATTAAAAGCTTATTAGAAATTAATAAGACTTATTAATTTAATGATTAGAAATTAATATGACACTAATTTACATATTATGGTGATATAATATATGATATGATATATATAATTCATTACAGTCTCATGTTTATATTACAATTACCATCTTCCAGGAATATCAACTATAATACAAAACAGTTTAAATCAAGTTAATGAAACAATGACTTGAACATTCACTTTTAGCAGAGAACAACTGTTGAGTTGATATAAATTCTAAATCTTAAAATGTTGAAGTACAAACAGGAGTTCATTATTCACCACTCAAAATGTCACCAAGGATTTATACGGGAAAAAACAGGGCTTAAAATTAGGGTTGTCATACCAAGCATCAAAAAACTTATATCAAGCATTACAGTAACCCAGTAATATACAGTGAAACTTGATTATAAAGAAGTGATTGGGACCTGGGATTTTGGTTCTATATAACTAAGATTCTTTAATATATCGATCTGTATAAAGAATGCACTGCAATTTCCTTCAGGATTAAAAAAAAAGTTTCTTTAAAACCAAGATTTCCTAATAAGTAAATTTTATTTAACTGAGTTTTACAGTAGGAAATTAAAATTTGAAAAAAGTGTTTTCAGCCAATCAACTTTAACTATATATACACCTATGTAGATTACCCCCCCCCCCCCCCCCCCCTTCCATTAATGATCTGAATCTTTTAAGAGATATAAAATTTTCATAAAAAGTCCAATAAACTTTGTATGTCTGTAATTCCACATGCAACACTAACAATTACAAACTAACTGAATTCCTTGCTAAATTACTGTAATGTTTCTCTAAAAGGTAACAGTTAAGTACATCACAGGCTTACAGGTACTCAGTATTTGGATTCCCACCTGATGCATGCATTATGGAATATCTACACCAGAAAACATCTGGAGAAAATTACATCTGTTAGACATGCTGGAACCTTCCTGGCATGCTAATTTCAAAAAACAGATGGGCCTTTAAACTAAGGGCCTATCAAAAACATTGCAAAAAAAGATCATTTCCTCAAATCAAGACTCTCCATCCACGAGGCCAGAAAGGTGAGGGGACAAGCTTACTATTTTTGGTAAAAGACCAGACAACTTTTGTAAAAGCATTAAATTTTTCTGTGTGGCCCCGCAGTGGACTAAACTTCTCAAAGAGTTTATGATTCCATGACTAGATTACAATGCAACCTAGCTTACAGGGTATATATCCAAAAATGGCTCAGGCCTAGGTTTACATTTGGCTTGTGAGTCTCAAAATAGCTTACAATTCCAGTTGTAAATCCTTAAACAGGAGCCCTGTATATTTACCACACAAACTGAACTATTTTAAGCATAAATTTGTATTGTGATTCCAATTATAAGAAGTAAAGACTTGTCCCATGGTTCCAAAGTTTAAAGATTACAACTGCATAATGTGTCTTCACTATTGCAATCATAAAGATTATATCATCAAGTTGCACAATGATTTCAAAAATAAAATCTTAAGATATTGGATTAGCCCAGAGATGCCTTGTTATTCTTAAGATGCAAGTTTAAATTTGCTTTGTGATTCAAAAGATAAAAACTTACTTATTTGTTTAAAGATTCCAAACATTAAATGATTTCCTTTATTATTAGTTTTAAATTAATGTTTCATTGACAAATAATACAAACTTAGATTTGCCTTATGATTTCAAAACTGAGTGAGCTAGAAGCTTAGATCTATAGTTCCCTACATTTAGTGTAACAAATACTCCAAATTTACAATACTGTTGTTACCTTAAGACAACAAAACAACACACAATTTTGCTAAAATATATCACAAGAGACCACTGAACTACCAACAACATACCTGTATTGCCTCCCTGCACTTGAATTTCTTGAAATAAATTCTTACAGTATACTTTTAAAAGTTAATATAAAGATAATCTTCATATTGAACTGGGTAAATGTTTTAAATGTGGGAAAATCTGCAATATTTTAAAGAGGAAATTTTCCCTGAATAATCAATAGGAAGAGAACCACCAAAGCCAATACATATATTTTTACAGGAAATCCTACTTCTTCCATGACAGGAAGTTAATACCTTAACCTTGTGGGTTAACTTCCCTTAAGTCAATAAGTCCCATCTCTACAAAGCAACAAAATAATATTAATTCCAATCATTTTAACTATCAATTCCTGAATCAAAATTTCCTTATGAATTTTTTTTGTAAAAATTGCATGATAATACATAAACAACATACAACATAGTTTGATCACAAAAAGCATGGATATATGGTCTCCCTAAGTGTGCAATCTGTTTGCCACCATAAATATAAAAAAAAATCTGGGGAAGCATCTGTTCAGATGAGTTTTTGAAAGAAGCACAAGGGTATTATTAGCGGATACTGCAATAACTCTCTATTGATAATTGTAAGTTTGTTGGGATTCCCTGAGATAAAGGCCAGGCTAATTTTCTGTCATTTTCGGCAGCCTCCACAGCTGTCCATCCAGATTAGACAATAACTAGTTTTATCTTCCATCCTGACCATTTCCACATGGTATTCTCTCAAATACTAGATTAATCAGCCTCTTTGAATGTCATTTTTTACCAAAAGATTTCATTAACAGTGGATTAATTTGAACTAACTGCAACAGAGCACAAAAGCTCCACATCCTTGAAACTATAATTTTGGATATGTCTTAGTAAGTTTGTAATTGCTTTAATAGTGTTGTACAATATTATAGGCTCTAAAGTAATATCCTCTTGCTTAGATATCATAAATATAAAACAAGTAAAAAAAAATATGATGATTTGAACTAAAATAAGAAGAATTTGAATGGAAAAAATAGCATTGACAAAAGAACAACTTTCAGACTAAGGCTGAAATGGCCAGGTTTGATAATCTGCTTACAACAAATTTAAGTGATTGCCAAAAATAAATAAGTAAAGTTAACATTACAAAAATCAGATATATGGTCAAACTGGAATATTCTGGTTAGTCAAAATCATTTCAAAAAAGAACAAGTAGCTAGA